CCAAGTTTGTTCCGTCAAAAGTTCTGAATAAATGATTGTAACTTTCAGACACATTGAAATGAGATTTTGATGGATACTGAAATGTCGTTGTGCACACAGCCTTACTCTTGTGGTATGACTGAAGCTTGGATTGGCAGCGAATGTAAAACTGTTTTTAAAAACGAAAATCACTTGATCTGTTGGATGAACATTCATGTATTTCCTCTTTCTGCGTAGGATTCGGACCTTGAAGATGCCGACCTCGAGGATGCGGACGATTCAGACGAAGGACACGATGATGAAGGGCACGATGAGTTATAAGGGCGGGCGGGAGAGAGAGAGGAGGACACGAGGAGAGACAAAACCCCTTCACCACCACCACTTCCACTCTAACGCACCCTCCCCGTCCTGGGAAACCTCAAGCTTCTCCTAGTCAACCCCACAGCTGCCGGGCGTCCGCCCGCATCCCGCCGCTATAGCAACCGTTTCCATCCTGACGGTCTCCAGCCCGAACTCTTCTTACCACTGGACCTCAAAGAATAAAAAAAAATGTTTTGGGTCATTTATGGAGCGTGTTTTCTGCTTCTGTTAGGAGACCCACCTGCTTAACCTCAGTGTTGGCATTTAAGCTTGTTTATCCTCAGATTTTTGAGGTTTTTAATCGTCTAATTAGCTTCTCTACAAGCCCACCACCTCACTAATTAGTTTAATTTGACATCTAATCTTGCACAGGGAGCAGAGTTGGAAAGGAAAGCCAGCTTATTTAATTTTTTTCCTCCAGAAAGGAGTGGACGAGTGTACAGTGGCTGGAATGGATGGATTTCTCAGGGCATCGGGGCCACATTCAATAGGAGGTTGATCAAAGCATTACATTCTGTCTAGAGCGGGCCATTGCGATACAAATGCAGGTGTAGCCGAGACCAAGCTGAGGTAGTTTCCCTTTTCTTGCTTTTTGTTTTTCTATTACAGTCTCTTTTTCACCGTTTTCTCCCAAATCATTAAAGGAAAAGCTCAACCATACATGCTAATTTAGCTGACGGTGAATGAGAGCCACTAGCCACCAATTAGCATGATGTAATTTTCATAACACTAATTAATGGCTGTTCTTCATTCATAGTTAGCAATATTAGCATCATTGACAGAGCTATTCCTTTAATGTCTGGCTACTGAATTATTTTTTAAGATATGAAATATGTTTGTTTTATTTAATTCTGTGTTTCCAGTTGTTTCTCTTTTGAATGGGTTTTTGTGTAAGGGCCCGTGGCCCTCTCGGTCTCAGAGGAAAGCAAAAAAATAAATACAATTCTGTAGCACTTCATTACGCCAGCAGAGATTTCATATCAGTTACTGAAGCGGCGACAGTTCATAGTTGGGAATAATTCCATTAAAAGTTCATCCTTTCTTTCTTTTTATCCCATCCTTTAATCTCCCTTGTCCTTGCGGCGGTTTGCGCCAAGGCGGTTCTGTCTGTGTGGTCAGTAAAACGGGGAGGGAACAATGCAGGAAAATGCTAAGGCTACCTTGATCAGCGTGTAGTTTTGTTTTGTCTTTCACACGTCCAGGGACAGGGTTGTGAATATATTCTATTGTTCTTTTCACCCCCAGCTGTTTGTGGTTATTTTTTCTAGTAGGGGTGGATATCAGGGGTGATGTAAATGGGGGAATTGAATGGGGGGGTTTGTACAGGGTGGGACTTCTGTAAGAGTTTTTTGGTTGTTTTGTTTTAATTGAAAGCTGTAAGCGAGAAAGGAGCGAATATGTTCAGAGAAGTGAAGCATTCCATCACATTTTCAATTCGATGTGGAAAAGTTAACTGGTGGCCAAATAAACAACAAAAATGGTGACAAACTTGTGTTGGTGTCTTTTATTTTTTTATTTTTTTCTCTTTCATTTTTTTTCTTTCACTTTTAGTTGTAAGTGTTTAGAATTCTGTGCTGATTTGTAATTCAGCTTAATAGTGGTGAGAATTTGCCCATTGGTTGTCCTTACATTTCATTGCTAAACTGAAGGTTTAGGCCTTACAGAATTGCTCAGAGTGGTGGTGATGGGGACCAGACGTCCACCTCTAAAAGCTCCCTCACAGAAAGTTATTACATGAAATTGTTATCAATACACTGCCTGATTGTTTTGGCCAAAATTATATAATTTTTTGGTGGGTGTTGAGGCAAAATAGTCTCCAAAGAAAATGTATTATTTAAGATTTTCCAATATTTTCCAATCATCAACATTCCATAAAAGACTCAGACACGTGGTTCACTGGTGGTTTTGGATAGTAAATAAAATGGCTATATTTGTGTTGTAGTCATGGCGACCCCTGGTTCCTATCACCACCACTATAAAGAAATCTGAACCATTTCACACCAAACCACTCTGAATGACTCTCTTTACATCTCAAACACCGAGTTATACAGAACTCAAAATGTGTAAATAATGGTGTTCTTTAAGATTTAGAAGTTTCTCTTCCATTTTTTAATTCAACACTTGAGAATATTGGACAATCAGCATCTAGTTTGAGTCGAACCTGCTGCAGTCATTTAGATTTTAACTAATTGAGTCAGAATTTGTTTGCATGAAATAGAGAATCTCAACAAAAAAAACTGACGAACCAAATGATGCAGAGTAGATGAGGAAAGAGTGTTCTAGGTTCTGTAATCAGACGTTTGTCTGGTCCGTGTACTCCGGCCTTAAGGGTTAAGTTGGGGGTCTCTGTGTACCTGGGGAAAGTCCAGGCAAAGCCATTTGTGATGCCTTGCTGGTGACGGATGTTTAAATTTAATTTCTGACCACACGCTGCCCTGACAGTGATGACACTTGTATCTGAACCAGCTTACTGGCACTTTAGTTCCGGCAGTAGGTTATCCTTTAGCTCGTGCTTACGGTCATTCAGTGTCATGTGAGTGAGTTTTCTGAATTGTTCTTGAAGGGTGATTATTTTATTAGGGGCATATGAGTATTTTAGAGACTGTTTTATGTTACATGGTACTACAAAACCCATTAATTTATTAAGTCACACTGATGTTTAAGTATACTGTTACATTACAGTTCAAAATAAGATTAAATAATAAATCTACCATCACAATATATCAATCTGTGTGGCTGTAATAGTGCACTTTTTGAGAAAGAGAATGGCACCAACAGTGGACTTTTGTTGTTTAAGCTGATTACACACATAAAAAGCATGAATTTTAAATCAATTTTTTGGATGTTATGAGGAAATATAACACCTAAATGTTATTATTTTTATTACTTATTATTACAGAGTAGATTAAATGAAAAGGCTTGGGTGGAGGAGAAACAAAAATACTGAAATTCAGATTTTTTTTTTAATCTACGCTAAGAATAAAAAATTCCCTTAAAGGGCCAGATCATGGAAAACAATTTCCCTCCATTTCTTTGAAATAGTATGGAGTATACTTATAAATAAGTAAACACTTAAAGTTTCCAAACATACTGTTGATTCCTCGGTCCATGAAGACCTTATATGGAACCTGAGCTGCAGAAACAGCCTGTTTTGAATTCACTGTTTCTGTGATGTCATGAAAACAATTTACATATATCTGGCTACTCAGCCTATAGCAGTTTAGCCCCGCCCGTTCAAACTGAAGTTATAAGGAGTGTTTCTGCGCAGACTGCTTTTTGAATGAGGCACAATACAGGGCAGCCAATTAGAACAGAGCTTATTTACGTATATCAGTCTTAAAGGCACAGTAACAAAAGCATCCTGTTTAATTGTAAGGGCCAAAAAGAAGTTGGAAAATGGTCATGTAAAAACTGTTTTACATTATGACTTTTTTTTTTTTAATAAAACCACACAAAAGTGGAGCTTAAGGAGAAAAAACAAAAATACATGAAAAAGGATATATGGGCCCTTTTAATTGAAAACCTAGCCAGTAACTATCTAAAAGTAGATGAAATCAGATTATACTTTCTTCCTTTCCTGGTTTTAAAATTAAGTCCTTTTCAATTTTTCAAAATTTCTACAAATTCAGTGTTTGAGATGTAAACAGAGAGATTCAGAGTGGTTTGGTGTGAAATGGTTCAGATTTCTTTACAGTGGTGGTGATAGGAACCAGGGGTTGTCATAACTACAGAACAAATACAGACATTTTATTTACTATCCAAAACCACCAGTGAACCTACACGTGTCTTCTGAGTTTTATATGGAATGTTGGTGATGGTAAAATAGTGGAAAATCTGAAACAATATGTTTTCTTTGGGGACTGTTTTGCCTCACAACACCCTGGATTTGAAATATATATGTTTCTTCTGAAAACTATCATTAAACAACATCTCAGACAACAGGCAGCATATTAATAACTATTTGATGTTATAACTTTCGGTGTGGGAGCTGACGTCTGGTTCCTATTACCACCACTGTGAACAATTCTGACTTGGTAAGTTTCTCTAGAACGGAGCATTTCACACCAAACCATTCTGAATGACTCTGTTTACATCTTAACTATTTAATTATGCAAAAATTTTGAAAAATCAGTTGAGTACATGTTTCCACTTTTAATAATATATGTTTAAATTGATAAGTTATTGACACCCTTTTGTCTTTACCAAGTCAATTTTATGTTAATTAGGCTTCACTTGGAATGTTCTAGAGCTCTAGAACTGTGAAGGTTATTTATTAATGATAAGCTCAGGCAGGAAAATCTGGTAGGGTTGTATACTAAATCTAGAATCCAACATCATCTGTTGTGTGGCATCCACATGGTAACACCATAAACCGAGGAACCGAAATAGCCCTGTTTGCTGGCATACACCTTGTTTTATGTTGGCCGTTGGTCAGACACGATTTGTAAAAGTCCAGTCATGGCTGTTGACCAGCCTTGGCCTGCTGTTTGGCATGTTTCACCCATAATCTTTATGCCCCATGGGTTGTTTACTAGAAGTTACTCCCCGCTTGTGCAGTGCGTGACCAACAAGCTTGGAGTGATTGGGAATGTGTATGTGGGTGTGTGTATCCTGGCGAAAACAGGCTGAGGTTACAGCTCCCATCAGTTGGAAGGGCATGAGTGAGTTGAGTGGGCTGGGCCAAGGTCCACTCATCTTCCAATTCAGTCATTGGAGCTGTGAGGTGACAGCACCGAAAATAGTCCAAGAGAGGGTATATAGGGCCCAGAGCCATTCAGAGCCACTCAGACTCGCACTACACACCAACTGTCCAGGAAGAAGCCTTATACCAAAGAGATCCAGCCACAACAGCACTGGAAGAGCAGGAGCAACTGCAAGCTGCAAGAACTGAGAAGAACTGAAGCTTCCCAAGAGGAGACAACCAGAACATCTAAAGCTTAAGCCAAGTTTCAAGCTTTCAATCTACAAGACTTGAGAAGACCATTCTCAAAAGTGAAGGAGATCTGAGGAGATAAAGGCTTAAAGCTCCAGAAAAGCAAACCTAGAGAAGATCTAAAACTTAACCAAGCAAACGTTTGACTTGAACGTCCAAGAACATCACAAAGAAGCCAACAGCTTAGCTGCTGATTTACCAAACTTCTCAGATTTGCTTCTTGAGAGACGAGGAGAACTTCTTAGGTGAACATGAAGTACTACCAGTGCCCAGTGACCCCAACTGTGACCTACGAGGGCTGCAGCTCCAAAATTGTAAGCCCAACATCCTGCCTGCGTCCTCACAAGTCCATCAAACCCGTCCGCAGCGTCCACTTCCCCAACGATGTCCTCTTCCAGGATTACGTCCGCCAAGGCGAGCTGGAGAGGATTGGTCGCTTTATTAGAACCAGGAGAGTGACCCTGGACACCATCTACCACTCAGGTAAGGAGAGAAGGTGTTTTTGTTGTTGTTGTTTCTTTTTATCTAATTTATTTATGCTACCACAGATGTTTGGAATCAGTTATCTTTCTAAAAATGAGTTGTGTTGTTTATAAACTGTAATAACTGATCTATAAATAATATAATGCTGATTTAGATATTAGAAGGTTGATAAAAAGTATTTTAGATGTTTTGATCAATATTTCAGGCTGAGAGCAACAAGAAGTGATAAAATGATAAATAACATACTGTAATTCTCCATTTTACAGTCCTTTTATGGCAATATATCTGCCTCAAGATTGAACTTGTCATAATATTTTCCTGCACATTAATTATTATTATTTTTTTTTATCTAGAAGCTAAACAGCTGAAACAAATCTAAAAGCTTCCTAGCTTCCTATTATTAGCAGTATTATTATTATGAAGTTGAACAGGGCTAGCATATTCAAATCATTTATATTTATCTCTGCTGCCCAATTTGGTTTTATATTATTAAGAAAAATTATTACAAACTTGAATTGTGATTTTAAACTTCTGAACGATAGTCTAACCATGATGCACTAAAAATGGAAAATACCGCAAAATTCAAATAATGGACAATAATAATATAACAATAATAATATGCATTATTTATATAGCACTTTTCCAAACAAAGTTTCACAAAGTGCCTTACAAAAGACAGAAATTAATAAAATTGTAAATATAAACAATTAAAGGACAAAAAAGAAACAAGTGGAAGTTCATTAACAGCTTATCTAAACAAGAGGGTCTTAACCTTCTTTACCTTAAATATGCCAAAAATCTGCCAAAAGCAAAATAATAACCTAAATAATAAATAATAACCTTAATACAGCAACAATTTGACTGCAGAAATGTAACTAAAGTGGTTCAAACCTCTTCAATAGCTTCAATGAATATGACATTCAAAAAAATACTCTCATTATTTCTATTATTTGTTCAATGGGGCCTTAAAATTGCTCCCAAGCTTCTTATTAAGCCCTATTCACCAGTTATCGCTCCATCACAGTCCTTTTGTTTATCAGACATAAACAGACTGTGGCTGTAATAAGATAATCCTCAGTGTCCTGAACCTTAATCACGGTGATAATTGAGTTGTCTGAGCTGGATATTTATCCTGTGATCCCTCTGATGGTTGTGCAGGCATGGCGGCCCTTCACGAGGCTGTGCTCTCGGGGAACCTGGAGTGTGTGAAGCTGCTGGTGAGCTACGGGGCTGACATCATGCAGAGAGATGAAGAAGGATGGACGCCGCTCCACATGGCCTGCAGTGATGGATTTCCAGAAATTGCAGAGTGAGTTTGCATATTGGTTGCCTTTAGTAGCTGGTAAAGGTTTGGTGTGAAGTCTTTAGTAGTTCAAAAAAAGAATTAGTGACTCACTTCTTAAATGGGGTATTATTATAAAACTCGACCATCCGTCCAAAACTTTAAAGATACAAAAGTCAGAAAACTTTTTTAAATTTAAAAATACAATAATAATGTATGTTCCTTGGACTAGCACTAAACATTAGCATTGCGCACTAGCATTGAGCATTAGTAGCTAATTTGATTTGTTGACCTAGAGTATTAGCAATAAAGTTGTCACATAGGGTATTATTGCTTAGCTACATGCACTAATCTCTGTAGAGGGACTGAGATTAAGTCTTTTTAGATATATTTTTTTTCAAAAAAGTTTTGTTTTACTTCATTTCTTTCTACACCATTAAGCATTATGATTAGCTTCCCAAACACGGTATTTCTGCTTAGCTAAACATGCTAACGTTGTGATCCCGCCACAATAAGAAAGATAGACATTTACAACCCTGCTAAAAAAAATCAGCATAAACCAGAATGTGTTGTTTTTTTGGATGCTGGTATGCTGGTCAACCATGATCATGCTGGGTGACCAACTAAACCAGCACTAGACCAGCATAAACCAGCATAAACCAGCTTAGACCAGCATGAAATTCAAACCTCTCCAACTTGACTAAACACATTCTTTTTCATCTCTGTGCCCTTCAGGTATCTGTTGTCCTTGGGTGCTGATCCAGAAGCAGAGAATGAATGTGGAGAGAAACCTGCTGACCTCATTGACCCAGACTGCAAAGAGCTTGTGGAGCTGTTTGGGGTTGGAGGAGACTGAGATTTCTCCCGAATTCTTCTCAGTTTGCGATAAAACAAGCCAGATGGTTCTGTTGGGACAGCCACTGTCACGGTTGAAGTCTTCAACAAGGCCCTTCGGTCATATCCGCCTGGGCCTGAGCGCTCAAGGTGACCATGGTGGTCAGCTGAATGGAGAAGTGGCTCTGTCCTCTACATCGAAGGATTCTACCTTCAGTGACTGTGCACAGCTGCTTTCATCCCAATGAAGAGCTATACACGAAGCAGTTCGAGATCAGTTTGTGTTTAGCGCTACTGTACTACATTATAGGCTGTATAAATGATGTGGTTTGTATAGATTTCGTAACAACTGCATTTTATACACTTGTGTAATTGTGCAATCCAAGGCTGCTCATGCTGTAAAAATTGTGTTTTTATTTCCCTTTTGCCTTTATATTGTGACTCTCTTTTGGTACACTGAAATATTTTTTGCTGATTATATAGGTGTGATTTTTATTGCAATCTTGCACTGCACGGCCTAGTCTTAATTTTTATACTTTATTTTTCAATAAAGTTTTTTTTTATGAGTAAATGGTTTGGTTTCTTTCAATTTTATAGAAAGATAATGAGTTAGTGCAGCAGCTTTTTAGCCATACTGATCTTCAGTATGCCCTCAGTGCCTTTTTCCATGACGGACTTTAACATGCCCTCTTATTGCCCGCACAGGACTTTAAGGCCAGAAACATACTCAGTGCAAAAATGCGAAGGCAAATTACAACGCCCCGCTAACACTATGCAAATGCACGTCTTGCTGTACAATCCCTTTGTGCATTTCGACATTACTGTGGTGATCAAAATGTGCTGCTTTATTAGTTCTATTGGAAAGAAGAGACGATTAAGTAGTATAAATACATACATATTTATAAGACTGCTGGTGTACACTGACAACTGACCAGACAGATACATGCTGGAGATATGATATAGCTTGACCAGGCTTGGCTCTCGATATAGCACCCCTTGCTGGACTTTAATACGCCCTTTTTGACTACATGGGGCTTTAACATGCTCTTTTGGCTATGCTGCACTTTAACACGCCCCTTTTTGGCAATGCTGCACTAGAGCTGATTTATGAGGAGCCTGGCCACTTCCTATTCCCCCCATTATGTAAAAACATGACTGCAAAATGCCAGAGGGCACCTGTGAGTGAGTCCTCAATGAATGGGAGTAAATAGAGCTCAACAGCTAAAAACAAAAAGTTAAAATAGTTTCTAATCACTTGCCCAGAACTTTCCTTTAATTGTAGAAAGTAGAAGGATGTATTTCACTAAAAAGGCAAAGAAAACTTACCTATACATTTCCTTACGTGTTTGGGGCAGCAGAATGCTGGCATTACTGCTACTGAGTGCTGTTTGGTTGGCAGCGGAGCAGCTCATTGGCTTTTCGCGCTCACAGACGTCACAGAAGTACATGAGGCGCCATTTTAAGCTCCTAAAACTCGAGTTTAAAAGCTCTTAAAAATATAACAGCAGTGTTTAAATGTTTTATGCTATTAAGTGTTCTTTTGTATTGATTGTATTCTTTTACATTAAAAATGTTTAAGCATTTATAAACTATGATTTTACTCAAATCTCCATCTTAACCCATTCATTTTGGACTCGCTCGGGAGCGCCCTCTAGCTTTTGAGAAATCCGGAAGACATTACAAAGTGGTAATTCTCCTCTCTACAAGTTCTCTGGCTGCATTTTAATGTGCCTATTTTTTGGCCATGCTGGGCTTTGACACCCCACTTTTTGACTACACTGGGTTTGAAGTTCCCCTTAATAGCTATGCTGGGCTTTCACATGCACATTTTGAATACATTGGGTTTGAATACAGTGCTTTTTGGCTATGCTGCACTTCAACATGCCCTATTTTGCCCATGCTGGGCTTTAACACGACCCTTTTGGGCTATGCTGCACTTTAACACGACCCTTATTGGCCACACTGCACTTTAACACGCCCTATTTTCCATCATACTGCGCTTTAACACGCCCCTTTTTTAACATTGCTCTTTTTGCTCATTAAGGGTTTTAAAACGGCCCTTTTTGACTACATTGGATTTGAACACGCCCGTTTTGCCCATGCTGTGTTTTAACACGCCCCTTTTTGGCTATGGTGCACTTTAACACGCCCCTTTTTGCCCACACTGCACTTTTTGACTACATTGGATTTGAACACGCCCCTTGTGGCAACACTGCACTTAAACACGCCCCTTTTTGGCATTACTGGCACGCCCCCCTTTGGTCGCGCTCTGCACTGCAGTGTTGACCACGCCCCTTTAGCAGTTTGTTTTGAAAGCTTCAGCACAAAGGAGGACTTGACTGGGCGGTTCTGTAAGTGAGCCTCTTATCAAAGCAAAGCAAGGTTAAATTTGCAACGATTCTTACAATTATTGGTTCAAGTAAAACTAGCGGGAAAATAAATCATGTAATATGTCCGCTGCCGTCTCCTTTTGAAAGCTTAGAAGGCTTCCTCGCTGACAAAAATCTGTGGTTCGTGAAGGTTGGCTAAGCTAACGGCTAACCTGCTAGACTGTGTCGTTACAGGAGCGGACAGCTGGGACAAAGTACGTTTTTACGTGTCAAAACATAAACTAAATTATGACTTCAGTAAATGGGACATGGAAAAAGCGAGGAACCTCTGTTTTGTAACGAAGCTGAAGTCTGCGTCGTGCTTGCTAGCTTCTTGTTCGGATGTTCCCGTTCTACCTTAAATGGTGCTGCAGTGTAGCTGTAACTGCTGCACCATTTAAGGTGGAACGGGAACATTCGAACAAGAAGCTGGCAAATAGGAAGCAAATTTCAGCCTCGTAGTATAGATAGGCGGGCTTGAGTTTAGCGGGCTAACTCAACGTTGACGAATTTATTAAAACTTGCATTTAACTAATAAGAAAAAAAAACTCATTCCTGCAGCCAGAGATATCTAGCGTTAATGTTCTTACACAGTTCCGGTTATGAACGTTAGTTCATCAATTCAAAGCAGTCAGTGTGCAGAGAGCATCACGGTCTGTGAGTCTTGCTGCTTTATCACCTGTATGGTCTACACTCTAAAAAAGGTATTTCTTAGTTAAGGGGATGGTTCTATTTAGAGCCGTGTGCTTTATGTAGAACCATTACCATTCCTAAATTGTTCTGTGCATGGTGAAATGGTTCTACAGATTGATGGAGAATGTGTTGTATGTGTAGGGCTCTGCTATTGTGATGACGTCAAGCTTGTAACAATAAAAGAACCCTGTTTGATGATATATAGAACCATATGCAGCACATTCTCCTTGCAAAGAACCATTTAATCATGAAATGGTTCTATATAAAACAGTTTTCTTTACTAAAGAACCCTTAAAGAACCATCTTTTTAAGGCTGTATGTCATGTTTCATACTGCATACTACCATACTAAATACATACACACAATACGTAGTACATTACCATTAGAAATGCATTCATTTGTACCGTATGTGTGTTATGGTATGATATAGTATGAATACAGACAGTCTTATACCATTTCCAGCTAGGGCCCTGTTTCCTGGGTTTAGTAGCTGGTTTAGAAAACATCAAAACTGTGATTAAGTTCATTTAATAGTAACTATAGGGATACACTGATATGGGCGTTGTGGGCTGATGCCATTATTTGGTATTTTTTCATGTACATATCTGCCAATACCTAGGAGTGGGCAATATGACAATATTTTATTGTTATTGTGATAAATCACGTCACAGTATGCTTTTTTTGAGCATTTTGTGGATATCGTCAGTACTTAAATAACACTGACTAACTATTTCATAACAAAGTGAGCATAATTTGCCTGTTTAATTGGATTTAGTGCAGTGCAGTTTGCAAAACACTGAATAAAATCTTTGTAGTTGTAGGTTTATTAATATTATTGTTATAGTTTTTTTTATGTGGCACTACAGGTTCTGTTTTGTCTGTTTCGACTTATTAAATGTCAGAAAAACTAAATAGTGTGATGCACATTGTGTATCGTGAAAATGTCGTGAAGTATCGTGATAAAATATTCTTGCCATATCGCTCACCTCCACATAAACGTTTATAAAATGTAATAATTAGGACTGGGCATTTCAGACAAAGGAACACTTATTTGTACAAGAATACCAATGCAGTAAAAAGTGCAGACATTTAGTACAGTAACTTACTACAGTATCATGCATTCCTAGTCAATTGAATGTTAAAGAATATTAAAGTAAATATTCCGTAGTGATTTTTAACATGGGTGAAAATGACCCCTGTTTTGTCAGCAGCTCCAAAGATGGTACAAAACTACAAACAGACATCCGGCGCCTGCTCGCCAACCAACACAGAAGAGTTACTCACACCAGCACACGAGGAGAACGTGCGCTTCATTCATTACAGTAAGCAGTTTACATGTGTAACAAACACTAAGAGAACCATGAACACTCAAAGAACCCTCTGCATGATTAAAGGGTTCTTTGCATCATGAAAGGATGGAGAATGTGCTGTAGATGGTTCTGTCTAGAACCTTTTTGAAAATGGTGCTATATAGCACCAAAAAGAGTTCTTCTATTGTTATAATATCAAGCTTGATGATGCAAAGAACCCTTTAAGCATGCAGCGTTCATTGTTCCCTATAGAACCATTCTCTTAAGTAAAGAGCCCTTGAAGAACCACCTTTTTTGAGTTGTACCATAATCGTTTAATCTAGTTTTACCTACTGTATCCATCAGCTCTTGATCAGTGATCAACATCACTAATTAATTAACTGAACCTAATTATTAGAGTTCTATTTTATTCTGCTCTATTAAAAAACAATACATGATATACCTAACAGAGACAACTGTGAAACTTGACTTGTCTTACATTTTGTGTGTTTTGTGTATTTAAATGTATTTGCTTTCTAGGACAGTTATTTGTTTTTGCTTTTGTCTTGTTCTGGCAAGTGGAAAAAATAAAGCTAAATGAATCTTTTTTAACTTCCATATTGAAAAAGGTGCAAAAACACAGTACATATCAGACTGTAAAATTTGTGTAGCACTACACCCTTTTTAGTCAGCTCGGCTTTTTTTGCTTTTGAATGTTTTTGTTGTCTGTTATTTTTGCAGCCTGGCAGTGTGTGATGAGGGAGATGCAGTCTTTCCAGGGAAGTGAAAACAGCAATAAAGGACCCCAGAAATATGTGGAGAGGACACCGAACCCCAACCTGAGCTGTATGTTGACCTAATTTTTTATCTTTCTGTCAAGCTCAAAGAACTTGTTTTAGTAAGGCGCTATACAGCGATCAGGCATAACATTATGGCCACCTCCTTCTTTCTATGCTCATTGTCCATTTTATCAGCTCTACTTACTATATCGGTGCACTTTGTAGTTCTACAGTTACAGACTGTAGTCCATCTGTTTCTCTGCATACTTTGTTAGCCCCGTTTTACCCTGTTCTTCAGTGGTCACCCTCACAGAGCAGGTACTATTTAAGTGGTGGATCATTCTCAGCACTGCAGTAACACTGACGTGATGGTGGTGTGTTAGTGTGTGTTATGCTGGTCTGGGTGGATCAGACACAGCAGTGCTGCTGGAGTTTTCAAACACCTCAGTGTCACTGCTGGACTGAGAATAGTCCACCAACCAAAAATATCCAGCCAACAGCGTCCTGTGGGCAGCGTCCTGTGACCACTGATGAAGGACTAGAGGATGACCAACACAAACTGTGCAGCAGCAGATGAGCTATCGTCTCTGACTTTACATCTACAAGGTGGACTGACAAGGTGTCTTATAGAGTGGACAGTGATTGGACACAGTGTTTAAAAACTCCAGCAGCACTGCTGTGTCTGATCCACTTGTACCAGCACAACACACACTAACACACCACCAACACGTCAGTATTACTGCAGTGCTGAGAATGATCCACCACTCAAATAGTACCTGCTCTGTGAGGGTCCATGGGGGTCCTGACCACTGAAGAACAGAGTAAAAGGGGGCTAACAGTATGCAGAGAAACAGATGGACTACAGTCTGTAATTGTAGAACTACAAAGTGCACCTATATAGTAAGTGGAACTGATAAAATGGACAATGAGCATAGAAACAAGGAGGTGGTCATAATGTTATGCCTGATCGGTGTATAAGCTAACCCTTAAAAAAAAATTGTTGATGGATTTTCATTTTTCTCTCATGTATAAAAGGCTTGTAGGAAACCAACTGACCATAAAAGTATGACGTTTGTATATATTTAAAAAAATGTTTTAAATTTTAATTTTTGTAAAATTACAGCCATGGGTTTCAAAGGTTATGTATTTTTCTCACTGTGGTTTTAAGTGAAAACATGTGAACACATCCTCTATAGCAGGGGTGCACAACTCAAGTCTTGGAGGGCCAGTGTCCAGCAGGGTTTGGTGGTTTCCCTGCTCAAACACGCCCACTAAAGCTGGCCATTAACAGATGAGTGTAATCAGGCATGCTTGAGCAGGTAAATTACCAAAGTATGCTAGACACCGGCCCTCCAGGACCAGAGTTGTGCACTCCTGCTCTACAGAGAACACAATTCTGCTCATTTAAATGCACACTTGCTGTTTATTTGCTGAATTTAACTAATTGGAAGAAAAGTAAAACATGTGGCCTGTGCAAAATTATGGCACATTTATATTTAAAATTTTTGGAAACAATTTGAAGAAAAAAGGTGCTTCCATAAACTACAGGTGAGGTTTAACGAAATTCAAAAAAGGTCCTGATGAGCGCCTGGCGTTCAGGCCGAAACATTATGTTTTTAAACAAAGAAAGTTACCCTTTTATTGAGGATAGAGGGAGCGTTGCACCTTTTCACCTGAGATGTTTTAATTATTTACAATATGTTAAACTCAGTAAATAAATAGAAACTGTGTACTAAAATTCACTGAAGAATGGCATATTTAAGAGTGTTCTCTGTAGAGGATGTGTTCATTTCCTTTAGAATATCAAGGAAACATGCAGTTTTACCAGGAGGGTTTTAAGTTTTGCATACAACTCCCAAATACACCTGGTGTATGTGTGTGTATATATATATACACACACACACCAGTTGTAATGAGCTGTAATGAAAATCCTAAAAAAATTGAGGCCTCAATTGGTTCCATTTTTGTAACATTCACAAGAATTCTCAAATTTGTGTAGGAACATTTATTTATTTGCTGTATTTCTTAAATCTCTAAAACATGATAAAATATCACAGCTTGGATATTTATTTAAAAGAATTCTTACTTGCCAGTTTGGTCCAAAACAGAGCAAAGCTGCAATTATTTTAGACGATTACTGCAAGTTACAGGAAGCACAGAAAAGTGTTTTTGTGTTTGCTAATTGATCATTTAAATTCTGTATTTAGATTCTGTATCAGATGTTTTTGGTGTTTGTCTTGCAGCGTTCACACCAGTGGACTTAAACGACGTCAGGCGGCGGAACACGCAGGACTCCAAAAAGTCTTAGTGAAAAAGGCGAGGGATCCCGTCTGCCTGCACACATCTCCAGCAAACGCTTTTCATTTTTAAATCGACTTTGTACGAGGTTTCTCCTGTCCTTACGCAGACACTGCCGCCTCCTGAGGACCTGCACCCCTTTTACCTGCATTCACTCTGCTGTAAGGTTATGCAAGTAACGGAGGCTCTGCATTCTTCCAGCTAATTTCTGTGCTCAGAATGGGACGGCAATTTGTCAATGATGGCAAACAGTCTTCCCAGCCTGGAACATGCTAACTTGGCTCATGTGCTTCTGTATCATTGGATCAGTTACAGTAAAAGACTCAAGACGATCCTGGATCAGTACACTTCATCAGGTACTCGTACACCATGAAGCAGAAATGCTGATCTAGGATTCTGGCCCTGTTTAAGGTGGTTCTAGCCATAAAAGTGGGTTCTGCATCAGCTCTTCTGCTCCTAAATGCTTCAAGCTTTAAAGCCCATATGATATATTTCCATATAATTGTATGTATTAGATTGTAAAATACATAGTTGCAGTTTATTAAGTACAAACACTTTATATCTAAACTAACTGGCCACTTTATCGGAAACACCTGCCTTAAAAGTCTAGAGACTATAGCCCGTCTTATTGGTGCACAATTTATCAGCCCCTCTCTATGATTGGAATCACCATTGACCAGATATTATTTGAATAAACATACCAAGTGCAGCTATATGGTAGGTGTTTCTGATAAAATGGCCAAGGAATGTAGCTACAAAGTAGGTGGAGATGATAAACTGGCAACTCAATGCATATATATGCATTTAAATATGAATCTTTATCCTGGATCAGCACTCTTGCACTGCAGAAAATGGTATGTTGTCAAGTAAAATGATCTTAATTCTAGTCAATGAATCTAATATTTCTCCTGGTGAGATTCTTGTAAGCTTATTTCAAGATTATTTAACTTGTTCCCAAATATATTATAATTGTTTTAAGTGATTTATGAACTTTATCTCACTATATTGGCAGATAATTTTGCTTAGGTAATGTATTTGAAACCAGCAAAATTATCTTCTAGTATAGTGAGATAGTTTTTCTTGATAAAATTACTTAAAACAGGTAAAAATGTCTAGAAATGAGCTAGATAATCTTATAAGTGCACAACCATCTCAACTTGACAACATTATTGCAGTGTAGTTTGAGAATATCAAGCCCTGGACATTTTTTCCAGTCCTCCAGAGCCAGCAGAGCAGCGACTCGAGCATGGATTCGTCTCTGCTTCTTCCTTTTCTTACCTCAGCTCGGGGCAGCTAAACCTACGCACAAGCCCAGCTGCAGACTGACTACACTTTCAGGCCTTTTCCACTGAGCTCCTTCAGGCTCCTCACACTTCCAGGTTGTATAGGTTTGAACAGATCGCAAGCACTTCCCTCCCCGTCATTAAGAAGCCATAATCTCATCTTCCTTTAACTGTTTTGTCAGTTGCTTAGCTGGGCCCTTCTCTGATAACTCGAAAGTGTTTTTGTCTGTCGTTTTAAGTTTTAGTATTTCTCTTGACCCTTGTGTGGTGTTCAGGTCTGTGGGACCCATTTTCAATGTTTACCAAAAGAAAAAATGATGCGATTTATTATTATTTCCCCCATATTCCTTGGCCTTTGCTCATTTTCTGTGAAGAACATATAAAAAAACACATTTTCAGTGACTTCACACTGTTCACCTCCCCCACACATTTATATTACACGTGGTGTTGGGGTGAACCTGCTGTGTCCCTTCACTCTGTTCTCTTCCTACATGGCCTGCTGTTAGTGTGTGTGTGTATGTGTTTGTATATGTGTGTGTGAGGGTGGACAACATGGACAGGCTGCTGACTGGCTACAGCTGCTAAAGGAGAACCCTAAGCTGTCCACTAGTGATATTTTAAACATCTGCTATTTTTTTTACATAAATTGTTATGGCTGTATTGATTTAAAAAAAACAATAATGTGGTGGGTCCACCAGACCACAGAGTAACAAACACATGAACACCACACAAGGGTTTAATGTCCAGATGGTTTGGAGTATAGTCGTATGCAAACGTTTGAACATCCCCAGTCAAATCTCACACTTTGTTGATTTTCTACCATCTGCTACCACAAACACACTTAAATATGACATACTGTGCACTAAAAATGGCAGAAAAATGGTTAACACTTTTTCTGGAGTGGTCCTTTGTAGATGATTAATAAAATCTTACCAGAGTAACAGTAACACATCAACAACATATCGGTGAAGTAGCAGTAGTGCAGCATCTGAATACACTTGAGTAAATATCTTTTAGATGTTCTGTTGATACATTACTTACATTAAGTAGATGTGTTGTTATATGTTACTTCCATTACGCAAAACCTAAACCTTACCCCCACCCTGGCCCTAATCCTAACCCTAACCTTACCCAAAACCTAACCCTCACCCTCATATATGTTTTTGACTTGAGTCCGTTGAGTGTTTGTTTCATTTAAAAAGGACCACTCAAAATAAAGTCTTGCCGAAAAATGTTAACTTTTCAACAAAACAGGTCATTTGAGTAGGGGCACACAAATTTTTCCATACGACTGTATGCGGCCGGACTGGCCACTGTATAGAGCTGTAGTTAACAGGGTTAGTTAGTAGTTATTGTGTCTATTTTATGTTTAAACTCTTTATTCATACCGGCTAGCTGCAAGAAACACAGATCAGCACTCGTATAAAACAATGACATTCTTGACCAGTTTTCCCAGATACAGACAGATTTCTTATTGGATAAAGCCATTGCTTTTGTTGCCGGCCCAATCCTCTTCCAGCCTGAAGGCACGATTCCTGAGCAGCAGTCTCTCTCTCTTTGTGTATGCAGGCATGTGCAGAAGTTTAGGCACCCCTGGTCAAATTACATTTGTTTATTTTCTAAGTGTAAATAAGTTAACCATCCTCTACAGAGAACACACCTCGGCACATTTTAATACACACTTACTGTTTATTTGCTAAGTTTAACTTAAATACTAAATGTGGCAAAAATTATAGCACTTTTATATATTGTATGTTTTCCATTATGTTAAACACAGGAAATAAATAGAAATAGACTTTACTGTTCAACAATTAAATTATAATTTCTTAGAGGGCCCATATCCTACATTTTTCCAAATTTTTTTCACATTGGTGAACTGCTTGATGTCTGAGACATTGTATTACAAAATTTTGAATTTTGAAATGTATTCTTTTTAACTATGGTGGAGAAGTACATATAGGACATTGTGAGGCAAAATATAGATTTAGGACTTAAGATTTATTTTAGGACTGTTTTATGATTGTTTTCAGAAGAAACATATTGTAATTCAGTTGGTGGTGGAGGGATACATGTGGGGTGTTGTGGGGCAAAAAGGTCCCAAAAAAACTTTTTTCAGATTTCCCACTATTTTACCTTCATCAACATTCCATATAAAACTAGTGTAGGTTGAGTGGTGGTTTTGTATAGTAAATAAAATGGCTATATTTGTGTTGTAGTCATGGTGACCCCTGGTTCCTATCACCACCACTGTAAAGACATCTCAGTCTCTACAATCAACCATTTCACACCAAAACATTCTGAATGACATTACATTTCAACAATTACATTATACAGGAATTTATTAAAGAGCCCATATCCTACATTTTTTTGGTGTTTTATTTGTTTCCGTTGATGTCCACTTATAACATTTGTGTAGTTTTATGTACCAAAAACAGCCATAATTGATTTTTACATGACCATTTTCCAACTTTTTATCCCTTAGAATTGAACAGGCTGATGCCTTTAAGACTGATAATGGCTGCCTCATTCAAAAAGCACTCAAAGCTGAAACACTCCTTAGAACTTCAATATGAATGTGGGCAAGCCTGGATCATCCAATGGGTTTTATGGGCGCATGCCCAGTGGCCCAAGCCACTTGGGGACCCCTGTGAGCAATTATGAGAAAATCTAAACAGTTGTTTTGACTCGCAGTGGGAATTTCTGTGAATATACTTTAAATATGAGCTCCAGATATTCCACAGGTGCCTGAAGGATCTGTAAAAGCCAGACCTGATACTATGTTTATGTACTATACTATATTAAGATACTATAATTCTGTAGAAATGTTTGTAGAAAATGCCATATTTAAGCGTGTTTTTTTTTTTATGCCATTTAAGCGCATTCTCACACTTCTCACATCTATTTTCACTTAGATCATCAACAAAACATGACCGGGGGCGTTCAAACTTTTGCAAACTGTACAAGTTAGACACTTTTTTTGTGATTATAATCTCAGATGATATTTGCTGTTGGATTGCAAAGTGAAACTCATTTAAAGCTCCTTCCACACTAACCAAACAAAAAAAAGACTTGGATGTTGAGTAGGTGTTTTGGTGCAAGTTTGAAGTATCTGTAATTTTTGGTTTTACTGGTGTTCGATCAGGGTGAAAGAATCCTAATATATTAAATGTTACTCTCTTCTCAATATACCATGTAATCATTTGCCATTTAAGGAACAAAATGTATGTGTTTTGTCATTCTAGCACATATAATCATCGAAATATATATATTTTTAGGTTGAGGTATGTATTTATTGTCCTTAAAAGAATAAAGCATTGGTTTGATATTGTAATAGTTTATTTCATCACCTCATGATGTGTCTCCCCTGAATAAAAAAAGGAACAGCTATTACTTTGTATGAAAAAACGAGCTCATAAAACACTTGTTTAGAAGATTAAAAACATGAATTTGTGTAGAGTGGGCTTTAAGCTATGTGAGTGGGCTTCCGGCTGAGAAGTAAAATTCTCACTCTTTGAACTTCCACTCCTGCCGGCACATCGGGCACTGCTGCTGGACCTGCTGCGAATTCAGCCACTTCAGGATGCAGTGCATGTGGAAACAGTGCGAACACTGACCCCAGACCAGCGGGCAGTCGTCTCCAGGGACTTTGCCTGCACATAGAAGCATAATGAAGCATTACTGTCACACCTTCAGAGAGCACACTTTGGTTTATTTCAAGGTGAACTCTACCGAGTTTTCAAAGTCTCTGCATAATTAGGTGGTTAAGATGTAAACAGAATCGTTCGGAGTGGTTTGGTGTGAAATGCTCTGTTCTAGAGAAACTTGCTGAGTCAGAATTGTTTACGGTGGTGCTGATAGGAACCAGACATCCACCTCTAAAAGCTCCCTCAAAGAAAGTTACTACATGAAATGGTTATGAATACACTACCTGATGCCTGAGACATTATATTTTAAAAAAGCTTTTGGCCTAAAATGTATCTTTTTAACTATAGTGAAGAGGTACATATAGGATGTTGTGAGGCAAAGTAGTTATTTTAGGATTTATCACTTATTTTACCATCAACCACCTCTAAAAGGTCCCTAACAGAAAGTTATTAGGCCATGTTTTAGGCCATGACAAATTTAATGTAAAACAATTTTAATTGGTTTATTTCAATCCATTCATGTTGGAGGGATACATGCAGGGCGTTATAAGGCAAAATAGTTCCCAAAGAAAACTTAATTATTTCAAATGTGCCACTATTTTACCATCATCAACATTACATACAAAACTCAGAAGACACGTGTTGGTTCACTGGTGAAGACATCTGAGTCTCTACATCCAATCATTTCACACCAAACCAATCTGAACTGCTCTGATTACATTCCAACAAGTAAATTATATAGGAACTTATTAAAGGGTCCAAATCCTACATTTTTCAGGTGTTTTATTTGTTTCCCTTAATGTCCACTTCCACCCACAAGTCCCAATGATGGGCCCAACCCTGCAATTAGCGTATGGTGCTGCTTAGAGCTCATGTAACCTGCTGCGCTATCAAAAAATTCGCTGACCACCCAACAAAGGTAGGGGCCCACCAAATATTTGTGTCCAAGGGCCAATAACTTGATAATCTGGGCTGTGAATGGGTGGGGCTAAACTGCTGTAGGCTGAATAGGTAAATATATGTGAGTAAATTGGTACTTGTGACACCACAGGAAAAAAAAAAATAAAACTGGTGGTTTTTGCAGTTCAGTTTCATTATTTGGACTGGGCAGTGAATGGTACATTTTTAAACTTTAACAAGGTTTACATATTACTCCTATTTACTCCGTTATTGATTTTTCAGGGTCAGGAAAAAGTAGAAGACATATTTAACAGAAAAATACACAGAATCCTTCATATAATATCACATTTATCAGTATGTAATAATCTGCAGCCACTTTAACTTGTCTATCCATTCAATCTTAAAACCAGCCAGTTCCATCTGCAACTCGTACTTGATGACTTAATGATCATTTTGACTGGAAATTAAATAACTGAATGGTGTTCTCTGACTTTGCAGTTCTGTATATTTTTAAAATTCATGAATATGCCACATTCACATTTACCTTTTGCTGACAAAGATGTCCAACTGCGCATAAACTTGTATGGCTAATAGAATGAGACCCTGGAGCAGCCTAAGGTCACCATACTCAATGCCAACTGTGGGCTAGAGGGATATAAAGACTAACCAGCATTGGGCTGTGTAACTTTGGAACTCTCCATTCTCTGGAGTGATGGAGCTGGGGATGAAGTGATCCAGAAACTGACCATCCAACATCAGTATGAGTAAATAATACACACAGAGAACATGGTGAAGGATGACTCATCTGACATCACTTTTCCACCCACATCCCTGCAGACTAGTGCCTACAGTTTCTGTACTACTGAACTCTCAAATGGTCATTTGTCTTTTTGACCAATTCTAATGCTCATAGTAGTCTACAAATGTTTAAACCGCTAACAACTATATGGTAAACACAGATGTCAGGCTTATGATTAGGGACAGGTTAAGGTTTAGGTTGAGACTAAGGTTAGAGTGAACATGAGATTTAGAGATTGAGATTTAATGAAAAGGTAATTTAATAAACATTTTAGTTGTCTGACAAACATCTACAGAGCATCTACAGTGAAGCATCAACAATCTCTTACCTTTTCATCACCAAACAAAATCTAGCTTAAAGCTACACTACGAATTTGTTAAAATTGAAAGAACAGAAAATAAAAACAGTCATATGGCGAGTTCGAAGTCAGAGTCGGGTTGGCAGCTTTTCACACCACATCGTACGTCTTTATGTATTAACATCACAAGCATTGATAAAGACAATAAAGAAGGTCTGGCTCGATGTTTAGATTTCAAATGATCTCAAGATCAACATTATACTGATGAAGATGTGATGACAATAGTAGATAATTCACTCACATCCTCAGAAGACGCGTCCTTCACCATGTTTTGACTGAGTTCACCTTAAATTCCCCTTTGATGCGCATGTAAATGTTTTAAGAGAGATCACTTACAGTCTGGGCAGCAGCCGTTGAATGGAGCTCTACAGATGCCACAGTTCTCATCATTGGCCACCCACAACCAGGACGCCACGCCGTTCCACTGCTTTATCTTCACCTTCATTTCTCACTTCTGGGAAGAAAAGAAAAAGAAATCAACTAATGTTAATGGGAATGGTACTATATAGAACTATTTGCATGCTTAAATCGTTCTTCAGATTGAGAATAATATGTTGTATATGGTTCTGTATAGAACCTTTTAAAGCACCAAAAAGGGTTCTTTTCTTGATATTGTAACAAAAGCAGAACCCATTCTGGTACTACATGGAACCATTTTCAAAAACAATCAATTCCATCAATCTGAAGAACCATTTCACCACAAAAGGACCATTTAAGCATGAAATAGAACTCATGGTTCTAAATAGAACCATCCCCTTCATTAGCAAAGGACCATCTGTTTTAAGAGTGTACAAATATGTTAGTAATATTTACTGGTTGTATCACAGTAAATTTATTCTACTGCATGAAATCACTCTAACGTTAAATATCGCTAAAATATCGAATCGTTATCTTACACATCGAAACCGTGTCAGCACTTCAACATCACTGAACATAAAAATACACAAAGAAATGATAAAGGTTTTTACTCCACACCAGCCAGTTAAACGTGGAGGTTATCTTGAACAAACTTGTGAGAAAGAAAACTAGTACAGACATAAACCCAGTAAAATCAGTAACTGTTAGCGGTTTATGAGTTATGAGATCTATGAATAATTCCATCTTTCGGTTCCACCTTAAATAGTACAGGCGCCAGAATGGAAATGCTGCATCATTTAAGGTGGAAGGGAAAATTTAAATTTAAGCCATGTAAACAAACCATACAGCAAACTACAGCCTCATCGTCTGAGCCATTTAAGTCAGTAAAAAAAAGAAGAAACGTGAGATAAAAGAAAAATACCGAGCCATAAAACTAAAGCTCTGTTTCCCTCCTGTTTTCCATTTTGTTTACAGCGACGACATGAAGTTCCTGCTGTATTACTAACAGCTCCGTATCGCCACCTGCTGCACCGGAGGAGATGTAGCGCTATTGACTGAGAAAGAGAAAAATATATTTGTTTTCCTCCTTAAAGAGAAATTCCGTTGATTTTTCAAAATGTCTGCATAATTCAATGTTTGAGATGTAAACATTCAGTGTGGTTTGGTGTGAAATCTGATGTCTTTACAGTGGTGGTGATAACAACCAGGGGTCGCCATGACTACAACACAAATACAGACATTTTATTTACTATCCAAAACCACCAGTAATCCAACACGTGTCTATATTTATGGAATGTTCATGATGGTAAAATAGTGACACTTTTGTCAAAATATGTTTTGTTTGCGGAATATTTTTGTCTTATATCCCCCTCCATGTATCCCTCCAACATGAATGGATTAAAATACACTTTATCACAAATCTATCGTAAAACTGTGCTTCAGAAATTAGGCAGCATATTCATAGCCATTTAATTGTTTCCACTGTGAACTATTCTGACTTGGTAAGTTTCGCTAGATCTAAGAAGATCTAGAAGCATTTAGAAGCATTTCACACCAAACCACTCTGAATGACTTCACTGGCATTTAAACCATTTCATTATGCAGAAATGTTGAAATGTCGGTGGAGTTCCCCTTTAATACATTCTACTCTCATTTTCCGACTGTTTTAGTTACTGTAAGCCACACATCTCAATCTGCATATTAGAACCCTTAAAGGCATTTCCATGAGTAGTTTCACTTAAGTAACTTAAGTTAAAATTATTGCTGTTTTCAGTTCAACGCCAGAGTCTCAAATTTGCTCGATTTAACCTCCTTTATACCTTTTTGTACTTTTTACATTTGTGTTCATTTCGTACTCTTTTGTATTAAATAAACAGAAACGTTAAAACCAAAGACTTTCAATTTGTGGCTGTATCTTAAACGGCTCTCTGTCCACTATGTAGTGCACTAGGCGAGTCTCGTAAATTGAGCTTTTTTTCACCCAAACTATTTAGCAAATATAGAATTAGGCACAACAGACTGAATCCCAAATGGCTCTTTTTTAGACATATGATGCACTGTTTGGGTGCAGTAGCCATTACTTTAAGTTTTTTGTAGTGCACTAGGTAGGGAGTAGGGAGCGGTTTGAGATTGAGCCTGTTACTCAGTAGTGGCGTCAAAGCGCGGTTAAATCTCAACGTTTGGCGTCTAAAACTAAATCCTTTTTAAATAATAAGTAATATTCCATAGATTTATATTATTCACAACAATCATAATGTTATATACATCATAAATTACATTTTATTACAATTTATTCAGACGACTGTATTTTATTTGAAAAAAATCAGTTCCCGGAAGTGTACGGTCTCCTAGCAACGGTTAGTAAACAGCGCTGTACTCCTTCAGCTGTGTGGAGGGCTTAAAGTCGACAAAGACGAAATTAACTCGATTTTAAAGCTCAGGATCACTTTCACTCGGGTATTTTGTTGTTTTGGCTTCGTTAGGCTTTGTGTTTTTTTTATCTGTAGTTTTGACGATAGCAGTCTTGGCTAAGAAAATAGAGAGCAGCTGAAGTCAGATAACTACTCGCCAGCTTCTTGTTCGAATTGTCCCGTTCCACCTTAAATGGTGCGGCTGTTACATACCGGCACCTGGGGCGGCAGAATGTAACTGCTGCACCATTTAAGGTGGAACGGGAAAATCCAACAAGACGCAGGCGAATAATAAGCTAAAAATAACATCATAATTCATAACATCAAAATCATAATAAGTTCTGAAATAATTTAATGCTATTTGTTGCCAGTCATCCTGTCGAATTTGCTTTTTAACGTTTTACTTGTTTTTTTTGTTTTTTTTTATCCATCTGCAGTTTTAGGATGGCGAGTGTTGGAGAAGATGAAGGGCGAGGGAGCACAGAGGGTCTTCCAGAGGGGTCAGCAGAGGTCAGGCCTCAAGTTTTGGTTCCCAACCTTTTTATTTTTACAAACAGGGCAAGAGATCATTTTATATGGCAAGAGAATGAATACTGACAAATAAGACGTAAGGACGTGGCATTGTGTGTCACTAAATAATTCATTATGACAGAAATAATTCTTTTTTGTAAGGATGTGGTTATATATGCACAAAAAAGTAACCCAAAGTAGAGCTGAGCAATGACAGTACTTATCGTTATTGTGATGAATTACATTATGTCACAGTGTGTTTTTCTGATCATATCATGGATATCATCAGTATTTAAAACTCACTTCCCAACTGCATGTTTGGTTAAAAAGAGAGCTAAATGAGTGCTATTTAGTTGGATTTAGTGCAGCACTATGTAGTGTTGAATAGTAATTGGATTGATAAACGCATTCATAAATGCATTATGGCTAATTTTTATTAGTAGTATTTTATAAATTCCTGAAGCTGACCGTGTGGGCTAAGTGAACACATATAACAAACTAGCACAATTAGCTGTTATCAACTAAAATTGCAACAAAACAAACAAAAATGTAATTCAAAAAAGTGGCCTAATTACATAACATGAATCAAATACAGTGCTACATTGAAAATAAGAGGTGACTGGCTGTTAAGCACAGTAAGTCATGTATAATTATAATAATGTTATGTTGATACAGGTGTAGCAGCAGCATTTAAATACAGTAACTTAAAATAACTCGGTGGTTTGGTGATGTTTTAAAGCACTGATGTGTTGGTTTCTCTGCAGGTTCCGGGGGGAGACCAGGTGGAGTCCAGCACTGATGATCCGGTTTCACACACACATTCAGGTGTGTATTAGTCTTCCCTCCAGGAAATCACCAAGAAATATCAGGAAAATGTGGTTCACCTTCATTTTAATACATGCAAAATGACTCATCGTTCCTGTCTGCTTATTAAAAATAAACAAAAGTGGTGACGCACTTGTTTTGCTGTACAGCTCAAATTGACAAAGCAGTTGTTAATTAAAGCAGTTACTGCACTTATTCCAGCCATCAAGATCATAAAGATGGCAATAACCAAATATCGATTAATTATAGCATTACAGGGTGACCAGGGGGCATATTACAGAAATGTTTTAAAGGAGAATTCCCCCATTTTTCTTAAATGTGAAAATAATTCAATCATTGTAATGTAAACAGAGTGGTTTTGTGTGAAATTCTGTGTTCTATGGAAACTTGCAGAGTCAGAATTGTTCACAGTGGTGGTGATAGGAGCCAGATGTCCACCTCTAAAAGCTCCCTTACAGAAAGTTATTACATGAAATGGCTATGAATACACTGCCTGATGACTGTGACATTGTTTTACGAGACAGTTTTGGCCCTAAAACATAATCTGTTTAATCTATTCATGGCGGGGGGCACACATCAGGTCGTTCTAAGGCAAAATAGTTCCCCCAGAAAAGTATAATTTCAGATTTTCCACTAGTTGACATTATCAGTATTACATAGAAAACTCAGTAGACAAATGTAGGTTCAGTAAATAAAATGGCTACATTTGCATTATGGCCCTTTTAGGCATGGCAGTGGCTGGTTCCCATCACCACCACTATAAAGAAATAGGAGCTGGTACGTTTACTGCATAATGAACCATTTCACATCAAACCATTTTGTTTACATCTTAATGATTGAACTATGTGAATTTCTTAAAATTGGGTGGAATTCCCCATTAACTTTGAAAATCTGATCTATTTAGTCTCCATGACGACTTCAGTACAGACTGAATTTAGGCCAGTAGCTATGACAGAATAACAGTTTCTAACTTCATCATCTCATCATTAACTCCAGATAAGAAAACAGTATTACACAAACATCCTAACTAGACTAAACCTCCTAAATACTGTCCTAACTTTAGGATAAACCCCAACAGTGTCCTGACTTCTGTTTAAGCGTCTGTTTTTATCGGTTTTAGGCAGCTGTGTCAGGCAGCATAGTTCAGTACTAGCATAATGATGCTACATTTATTTATACTATAAAACGCTGCTTTCAATGTGAGATGTTTTTCTTTTCTAACTCTGTGTTTTAAAAATCTCAGACACTGCAGACTCAGATCTCCACCGTCCCTCTTATTACCTTCCTGTGTTAATGTTGATGATAAAATATTACAGTGATGGTGGTGAATAATGAGGAGACAGAGCTGAACGTGTGTCTGTTTATTAGGAGGAATAATGTTAGTGTGCTCTGCTAAAGCGTTTGGAAAATGGAGCGTTTATCACACTTCAGTTTTCTTTGACCTTTTTACATCATTAACGGTAGCTAACGTTAGCTGTCTGGCTAACTAACTTGATTATTTTGACTATGTGTTTATGTTTCAGCTGTGCTCATATAGTCGGTTGCTAGGTAACAGATATGACAGTTGATTGTTTACTTTGATTGAGTAGGTTAAAATGTCCTAACTTGAGATAAGATGCTGTAAAATAAGATCAAATTAAATTAAGACAATATTTGCTTCTGTAATGTGAATTTGTGAAAAATCTTATCTTGACCTGTCAGATCTTAACTTAAGTCAAAAATAGGATGTTTCTGTAATACGGCCTCTGAAATAAAACAGCATCATGGCTAGAACAGAATACAAAACATGGAAAATAGTTTGCTTTGCATCTAACTGTTAGTTACAGTAAATCATGCATTTTTTTCACTGGAAGCTTCACCGTTTTTTCTGTTGTATGTAATGGATACAGTAAATTACTGCAATATTTCCAGTATAAATTTACCTCAGTTCTTTAGAGTGTACATCACACCATGTAGAATTATTACATATTGTTAAACGGATACTTCCGGTTCTAAAATCTGATTGGCTGAGCTGTGTTTGAAGCTGTTATAAAATACTCGATATACACACAGCTATGACCGCTTCACAGCGAAAGAACTCTGTATTACTACGCCATGGCACAAAAAATCCTTGTGCTGTTAATGGAATAATCTTTGACTGTAATGCTGCTCGCATGGAGCACCGAGTGTACTGGTGAAGTAAGAACCTGTTTTTGTTTAAACTAAATAGATTACAACTTATGTTCTTAATTAGAGTCTAACAGTTTAGTTAAAGAACGAGCTAACAGGCTAAAGGAGAGCTAACATGCTAAGCAACTCCATCATTAATATCTCAGGCTTAAATTTAAGTACTTAAGATTTGATTCACCGTAAAACTGCATTATGAAAGTCTGAATAATGTCACTTGAATGTCTTACATACTTCAATTGTTCATGTTTCAGTCAGAAATAGCATCAGTCTCAAATGGCTCCATACTCCCACTTTATTTCAGTACCAATATATGCACATATTTATTCAGTATTGTCATTATATGTTGTTACCTGTGCCTCCTTGTACATTCATTATTGCACTACCTTTTTTATCTCAGGATAGATCTTACTGAATATTTTTGTATATTTCTAGTTGTATATATGCCTGTACATAGTTTTTTTGTATATATTCTTCTTTTTCATATTGTATCACCCTTATTATTATAACTGTCCTGTGTTGTGTGACTGCTACTGTCTATCTATCTAGTGCACTATGTAAGTAATTGAAATTCTAACCTCTACAACCAAATAGTGCACTATTTGTTGAGTATGGGTGTGGCTGAACCACAAATGACTAATTTTTAGTTATATTATGCACTGTTGGGCTGCTGGAGTCAGTATTTAAATTCCTACGTAGTGCTCTATGTAGGGAGGGGGGAGCCATTTGAGATTCATCCACACTGTGGGAAGAGGGGCAATGCTAATACGACTGACGGTGGTAATTTGGTGAGACAAAGTACTTATAAAGTGAAGATTTTTGTAATAGCCAGTGCCAGGATATGATCAGTTTATTGTTATATGACCAAAAGTTAAAACGTTCATGAAATAATCACAGTATACAGTGATGAGTGACCGAACGTTCTTCTCCTCATTTAGCAGTTCATGGTTGCTTGGTAACGAATCATACACTGAAGGAACGACATTTCTTGGCGGAATACTTGTTTGTGTTGATTACTATTAATGATAAATTGTTTTTGGGAAAAAAATGTTTATTTTGTCATATGTTCACTGCCGATTTATAAAAGTAATAAGCCATTTGAGGCCGAGCACATATTGTAACTCCACTTCGCGTCTTGCCTAAGAGTGCCCTTCCCTCGTGATAAACTCGCAGTAAAGCACAGCCTTTCGTAGCTTATTGCTTGGATAGGTTGCAGAACAATGTTAATTGGTGTTTAATAAGAAAATGGCATTTTTCAAAATTCATTTGTGCTGTATTTTCTAGAGTGGGACAGTGGTGACCTGCCTGATCCTCCTGCCTCATCTCTACAACTCACACTGGCCAATTCTACGGTAACAGAGCTGCAAAGGAACTAGGTTTTATATTTAAAGCTCAAATACTTCTGTCACATGTTTATGCCTCAAGTGCCCATACAAATACTGTTTTATCAGTCCATTCTTAGAGATTTTTGGCATTCTCCATGTAAACAAAACATTAAAAATGGTAAATCCCCTCCATTCAGGTGGCTCTTATAGATGGAGAGTCAGACGAAAGAAGCAGGACGATGCAGAACGATGAGGATGAAGAGGATGAAGACGAGGAGCTCATAGTGTTGGACCCTGAGCATGTATGTACCATTACTTTTCACTATATGAATTTTCTACGCAGTGGCACTTGGAGGTGTTGCATTTTTATTGGAAACTTACACTTACTCACAAATTTATGGCATGTATACTGCATTATATATTTTAATCATATTTAATCATATGTATAGTATTGAGCTAAAGACAGTTGTTGAAAACAATTTGTCTTGACAACTCTTTTTAATTTTTTTTTGGAATATTATTAGTAATATAACAATGTAATATAAAATCAAATATTTTCATTGCAGCCTCTGATGAAGAGATTCCAGTCTGCCCTGAAAAACCACCTCACAAAACAGCTGGAGAGACTCGATCTTGAGCTCCGTGAGAAGGTGCAAAAGTTGTGTCTATGCTAACACACTTCCAACAAAAACAAATATTTGCAAATTGTATATCATATACAAGTTCAGGAGATCTGCTAACTAGTGCTCTAGAACTAGGCTACATGTATGTCTAAAATATAAAATGTGCCATAACTTTTGCACATTGTTTTTTTTCACCAGTGTGTTAAATTCAGCAAATAAACAGCAAATGTGCACTAAAATGTGCAGAAGTGTTCTCTGTAGAGGACGTATTAACTTATTTTCACTTATAAAATCAACAAAACATAAAATTTGACTGAGGCGCTTAAACTTTTTAAAAGATATTTCAAGCTCTAACGTTCTGTGCTCCACCAGGTGGCGCTGGAGCGAGCGGAGGGCAGTCGGAGGGAGAATTTGGGTGTGGAGCTGTACTCGGTGCAGCAGGAGCTGGCCAGGCTGCAGGCATTTCTGGAAGGCCGTCATGAGGCCTGTGCGCAGGCCAGCACCCAGCGGAGACAGGCTCAGGGACAGCTGGAGCACATCAGGAACCAGTACAGGACTGTAGCGGGACAGGCCAGCACACAGCGCACACAGGGTGAGGGTGGGGCTGGGCAAGAAACGTGTCAAAAACTGAGCTTAAAAATTTTGTCACAAATGTCCAAAAGTTTGTCGACATCTACTCATCCAACATTTCTTTTGAAATCAAGGGTGCTGCATTCCACATCAAATTTAAAAAAAAGTGAGGAACACTTAGTTTTCCATAATATTCACCCTTTAAAGTGAATTCACTCTTGTGGCTGTCTAGATATTTCTGGGTGTAGCGTATTTTTACACTCGAGGTCTAATGCATTATGTTAAATGAAGCAAGAAGAGGCTAGGATTGTTAGGCAGGTGAAGCGGAATAAAATCACTTATAATGGCATGGATAACACTTTTGATTTTGAGTGACGCTTCAGTAAGCATTCCCCTGACCAATCACAAGGCTGACATCTCTGGCCCCGCCCCCACAAACATTTTAGAGTCAGCGAAACTAAGTGAGGTAAAGCTAGTCTAGCATAACCAAAAGCCAGCAAGTTAGACCACCTGTCTGTAGCTGCCTGACACCTGTTTCTTAATCTGTCTGTTTGTTTGTCTGCATATCTGTTCGCCTGTGTCTTTTTTTCGTCCAGTTACCGTCACAAAAAAAGCTGGATAATGATTTTAGTTCTGTATGAGGGGCGGAGCAGGCTAAGAGTGTTGAACAGGGAACTGTCAATCATGCTGCTCATTAGCCACGCCCACACAGTTCTTAGATAGGTCTGATCAGTGTTTTTTAAGCCATGTTTTATCATATTTAAATCTTATATTTTTTCATTTAAGCTTTGCTGGATGTTTAATATAACATCAAGATTAACATCAAGATAACGTGATTCATGGTGGAAGTAGCGTGGTGGTATTTGCTGTTGTTTTAGACTACTGGCTAATCTGAAGAGATAGCCTCTGTTACTCAGATGACATAAAAACCCTTCTGATTTCACTCAGCTATTAAAGTGTTTAATTCCAATACACTGTATATCAGTTTGTGACAGTTTTGGATATAAGTTTTTGAAAAGACTAACAGCTGGTGTATGCAAAACACATTTTTTGTTTTTCTAATAAATGTGGAATTAATCATAATTCTTGAAAGTGGTCTAAAATGCATTTTGCAGAGCATTATATTTCATAATAATAGAACATGTTTTCAAATATGTTCCTCTGCATGCTATGTTCTTCCTCATGGTTAAACAATTATATGTTTATTAACCTTTACAGATACTGGAATATCAAAAGTCATGGGAATGCACATCCTCAGCCAATCAGACTTCAGAACTTCAGTTTTCTAATCATATATTGAACCTCTTTTCTGTCTGCGTGGTGTCTCAGTATCGGATTTGCAGTCGGAGGTGGAGAAGCTGGCCCTGCGTCTGCTCTACATGCAGGAAGTGACTTCTGACCTTCGCTCGGACATCACTGCCATGAAGAACGCAACACACAAAGTGAAGGCAGAGAAACTGCAGGCCGAACAACAGAAGCACAAACAGGTCAGATCCGGGTCTGCAAGGCTCCACCTGTTCACTCCACGGAGTTAGCTTAATTTACATGATTTATTGAATTATTCAGAATAAGAGTGTAAACTGTGTATATGTTTAACATCCGCTGTTGAGAAGTTCTAAGAAGTAAAATATCCGTGATGTTTAATGCTGTGTGTTCATTGGCTGTTGTAGGACCTGTATGTGGAGCGTCTGGTGAAGCAGGTGGAGAAGCTGAGGGATCAGATCGCTCTGTATGAGGCCCAGACTCTCGCGCAGGCCGAGGAGACACAGGCAGCTAAAGAGACCTTAGCTGAGGTCAGGAACTGTCTCACAGTCGAATACGCTGCAAAACTGCATCTGATGGCTGACATGCACATACTTAATGCAACTGACTCTCCATAGCATGGTCTGTATTTGTAACCAAAAAAAAGGCTGAGTTGAGAAACACTGATTGCACTTATTTAAGCTGACTGCAGTTATTTTGCACAGTTGTTATCTTTCACAATCATATGTTTTACGTTGCAACAAACAGAACTTAATTTGATGCATTTTCATGCATTGGGTTAAAGAAAAAGAATGTAAATTAAAGATAGCAGATAAGACATGTATTGAGACATGTTACAAAAACAACCAAAGATATAACTTCTATCTGGTGCTGTAACACCTAGGAAGCGAAATGGCTAGTCAGACAATTTGGCCTTTCATTTTGGGCAAAAATTTTATGAACGCGACAAGCTTGGAGTGTACTAATATGGCTTGTACAGTTGTTGATGTCCAAGTTGGCCGACTGCTCAAAACATATCTAATCAAACACAATGAAGCCCAAACCTTAATTTCTTGGAGCGCTCTGGTGCTCTAAAACAACAACTTGGAGAGACATTAATGTTGTACTTATAAAAAAGAATTGCTTTTACATATGCTAATATATACAATGTATATATTTATTTTATGTTCATATAAAATCATATCAGTCATATCAGTAATTTTAGTGCTCAATTTATTGAGTTTAACATATAGGAAAATAAAACATGCCACATTTTATATATTTTCCCCAATATGTTCAAATAAACAGTAATTGTGCAAGCATAATTTGACTGGGGTGCTCAAACTTTTGCATTTGACTGTAACTATATGTGTGCTTGTGTGTGTGTGTGTGTGTGTCTGTGTGTGTGTATATGTGTGTGTGTGTATGTGTGTGTGTGTGTGTGTCTGTGTGTGTGTGTATGTGTGTGTGTGTATGTGTGTGTGTATGTGTCTGTGTGTGTGTAGGCTCAGCTGGAGATAGACTCTCTGACTGTGGAGCGGAAGCAGCTGCTGCAGCAGTGGAACAGCAGCCTGATTGGGATGAAGAGGAGAGACGAGACTTTTACCGTCACACAGGAGGCACTCAGGTGTGTCTGTCTGTCTGAGGTGACCTTTAGGCTGCTCATTCATAGAGACACCAGAGCTTCTCATTACCACATTATGCCAAATAAATAAACACATTGCTTAATGAAATGAAAACCATCTCTTTCTAACTTCTGTATTATAACAACAGTAATTTAGAATGTTTGACACTGATTTAAAAGCTTTGTCAGTTGACAGAGTCATTTAGTTTTCAGCTATGTCAGTTATGGAAAAAGGTGGATGCTCAGTATACTTGAATGTTCATATGATCGTAATACAGATTGTAATACACTACAGGAAGTGTAGGGGGTGATATGGCTTCTATTGTTTCATTTACAAAGCGTTCTATAATGTTCATATGATCCGCACAGTCATTCTGACAGATTGTAATACACTACAGGAAGTGTAGGGGGCGATATGGCTTCTATTATTCCATTTAAAAAGCACTCTATAATGTTCATATGATCCATATAGTCATTCTGACAGATTGTAATAACTACAGGAAGTTTTGAGTTTGCAATAAATGAAATGGCAACATTTAAGTGGAACACAAAATGAAATCACTAAATCTTTTCAATAAATGGGTATGGCTCGTCTCTTATGCTAGCTGCATGCAATAAACTTTATTTTATTTGATTACTTTCATTATTTATTGGAATTGTTGGAATTTTGGAATTTTGGAATGCTATTTGTTCAGAAATGTGGGTATTTGAACAGCAAATGTTTTTTAAAATAGAAGTAATGACTGATTTCATCCCAAGCAGCAACCATATACTAGCTCGTCAGTTGTGGTGATCCCTGATTGGTTGTCCTCTTGCTCCTCCCCCAGGCTTGCCGATCAGCAGGTGCGGTCCCTTGACACGGAGGTGGAGGGCTACAAGAGATCCATCATGAAGGAGCAAGAGCAGAACGAGCTGCTAACCGTACTGCTGAACCGCGCACAGCTCAACAGCGCCACCTACCGCAAACTCATCACACACTCAAACAGCCAGCAGGAGGCACTACAGGCCCTGTACAGCACATACTCCCGCACACTGCAGGAGACCGAGAAGAGCCTGAACAGAGTGACCGCGGTGAGCGACACAAACGCACTCACACGTTTTTTTGGGAATCCACAATAAACAATCAGTGGTGTAACTATGATGATACAGGTACAGTAAGGATGTTGAATGGCACGGTTGTCATGGGCCCCTGCACATTACAGGCACAAGTACATGTGCCCTGCCTCTACTTTCAGCATTTACGCTTCTGAAAATGTTCCTATTTCAGCAGTTTTTGTATGTTCTCTCTCTCTCTCTTTGTAGGAGTGCAATGCATGTCAGTCTGAGCTGACTGTTCTGAGGAAGCAGTTGGAGAAGGAGTCGTCAGTGCGTTTGGATCTGGAGGACAAGATTGTGAAGAAGATGCAGGAGCAGCTCACCCACGATAACGCAGCTAAATACTCCAAACACCTCACCAACAAGACCGCCGCACACCAGAGAGACAGGGTGAGGGTCTCTCGCTCTCTCTCTTTCTCACACACACAAACACACATGCACACACACATATACACACACACACACACACATGCACACACATACCCACGGCACAATTCATTGTGAACAATTTTGTAATTTTAGATTTATTATCATAGAATATAATCATACTCAATAAATACTCAATACTTAATAAAAAAAAGTATTCCAAGTCACCACCAGGAATGGGAATGATTATGGGATTATGTGATTATTTTATGCCGGTGAAAGTAAACCTGGTTTCATCTGTCTGCGCTGTTGGTAAAAGTTTGGCTTTATCTTGGGAATTTTTCTTACTTTATTTTATAACAATTATTTTGAACTCTGCTTCATAACATTGACATAATCGATCCATAAACATGCCATGGCAAATGTCATATTCTGTCATGAGTTGTCAGGCTATTCCCAGTAATGTAACAGTATCATGTTACTATTACCGGTAATTGTCATGTTATGTTGTTTGATGTCATGACAGGTTATGTTATACACTGTTTGGCTGTGTATTCCTAGTTAGCCATAATGACATCAAACATTATGATGTCTGATGATACTATTACATTACAGTACATTTCATTACAGTGTATAACATCCGCCATGCCTGGTTAAGATATGGTTATATCATGCTTAGTTCTCAGCCTTCAAACTCTATTTGGCTGTCTGTTGTAAAAAGCATTTACAAACAATTAGAGGTCTTTGATACTTTACAAAGTGATTCAATGTATCATAAATTCACCAAAAACTCAATTTAATTAAATTCTTTTGGTCTGATTCAGAAATACTTTTAAAAACACAAATATGAATTAAGGACAATACTATTGTTTTAGTCTCTTTATTACAATATACATTAGTAGATTATGGACAAAGTAACATGCACCAAGCTTTGTTTTTTTATTTTTACTTTTAAAAATTGTCTGTATTTTATTTAGGCCAAAAAATTAGCTGTATTGAATACTATTATAATCATTTAAGAATCAATGCAGGTGAATTATCACCTTCAGATCAATGCATCAAAATTCACTGAAGCATTTTTACACTTATACAAACAATATATCCTATTTTATTTTAACTAAAGAACAAGCTGTTACGCTTCTATGTGAGTATGAACCTGTAACATGTCTTGTTTATTTGTTTCTGACAGGAGGCTCAGCTGTCTAAGCTGGAGAATGAACTGGCTGCAGTAACCCTAGAGGCCAGCCAGGTGGCGCTGCATTTGGAGGCTCTGGCTGGCCTGCAAGCAGACCTGGAACAAGAAATGACATGTCGTCACCAGCTGCTGACTGCCAGCGAGGCAGAGGGGGCCAAACGTACCACTGCCATTGAGCGCAAACAGGCCACCATCAACGTCTACAATAAGAAGATCCAGCAGATTGTAGCCAGCACAGGGGTCAGAAAGCACGGCAGTGCTGAACATGCTTTACACACACTGTATGTCCAAAAGTATTCAGGCAGCTCTTCTAATGAGTTAATTCAGATACTTTAAGGTCACCCATTCCTGGCAGCTAGTATAATGCCCTGAAGCAGTAGCACACGAGTCTTAGGTCACCAGGTCCAGTGCCAAGCGTGGGCTAGAGGGGTATAAGGTCCCCCAGCATTGGGCTGTGGAGCAGCCTGGAGTGATGGAGCTCCTTCCAGTACCTTTGGAATGAGTTGAAGTGATCCAGAACTGACCATAAACATCAGTACCTGACCTCACTAATCCTCAGATCCTCATAGCAATGTTCTAACATCTAAAGTAAAGCCTCCCCAGAAGAGTGGAGGCTGTTACTGCAGCAAAGGGGGGCAAACTCACTAATAATACCCTTCATTTCAGAAGAAACGTTGGCATCTATATACTTTTGAACATATATTGTACTTTACACTTTACACTCTGATCACGCTCACATTTTACAAACTCTTTATGTAAAGCCAAAAAACGAATATCTTCAGAATTGAAGCACTATGTGGACATTTCTGTGTTTTTGTTGTGGAAATATACAAACCATATACAGAAACTTGCAATGAGAATAAAATACAGACTTTTCTTCTTTTATCATTTTCAGAATGCATCAGTTATCCACATGTTATAAAGTTAGCTCGCTTAATAGTAATGGTCTTTAATAAAGTCTTTTAGTATAGCACATGAATCACCCTGATCATACTTTACACACTAATTGCAGTTTACAGTCATTCAGATGTGAAAGTTAAGATGCAGGACATGCAGAATTGCCCTTGTATACTAATGAGATGCTTGTGTGTGTTTGGATGAGCAGCATGAAGACCTGGGTCCTCTGGAGATCCAGGCCAGCACCCTCAATAAGCAGCTGGAGGAGGTGGGGGCAGAGATTAAAGAGAAGCAGCAGTTCTGGCTCTGGCAGCAGGGGGAGCTAGTGAGACTGAGCCAGGAGAGACAGGCCCAGAACAGCGCAGTACAGAACTTGCAAACGCAACTAATTATCCTGCAGCAGAGGAAGATCAGGACAGAGAGTGAGTAGATGTATATATGCATGTATCTGCATACAATAATATGACCCATATGTATTATCTAAATATATAAGTGCCTGTCTATTAGAATACTCCCCCTATATGTTAGGTCTGTATACTATATGTATGAATGATATGTCCCATATGTACACTCCCCAAAAAATAATAGGCCAAGCCCAAAATGGTAAAACATTAAGCATCCAATGGTCTTAACAACAAATCATTATAAAAATGTAAAGTAAATTAAGACTTTATGTATGTATATGTGCAGACAGTCTTTTACAGAAAGAAGAGTCACTATTTTTCCACTCAGCACTCACGGCGTCGAACAGCTGAAAAATGTTGCTGAGCTAGTTTGTATTTAATGTAAGACCAAATATTTTCTATAGGGTGCAAATCTGGACTCTGACCAGCCCAAAACCGTCAGTAAAAAACATTAGTATTTAGTATTTTAGTGTACTATATATATGTAAGTGCCTATACCTGATAAAAATAAACTCAATATGTGTAATCTATGTCTATGTCATAATAAAATACCCAATATACATTTTATCTCTATTTGCCAGAACATATGTGTAATGATATGTCCTATGTGCATTACAAACCCAATTCCAAAAAAATTGCGATACTGTGTAAAATGTAAAATAAATGTAAATAAAAACAGAATGCAATGATTAGCAAATCCCATAGACCCATATTTTATTCACAATAGAACATAGAACACATATCAGATGTTGAAAGTGAGACATTTTACCATTTCATGAAAAACATTAACTCGTTTAGAACTTAATGCCAGCAACGCATCTCAAAAATGTTGAGACAGGTCCATGTCTACCATTGTGTAGCATCCCCTCTTCTTTAAACAACAGTCTGTACAGCTGCTCTAGCTGATTCTAGCTGCTCAACAGTCCTGGGTCTTCTTTGCTGGATTTTTAATTTAATGATGCGCCAAATGCTTTCTATTGTTGAAAGATCTGGACTGCAGGCCGGTCAGTTCTGCACCCAGACTCTTCTTCTGTGAAGCCATGCTGTTGTGATGGATGCAGTATGTGGTTTAGCATTGTCTTGCTGAAATATGCAAGGCCTTCCCTGAAAGAGAGGCTGTCTGGATGGGAGCATATGTTGTTCTAACACCTCTATATACTGTTCACAATTGATAGTGCCTTTCCAGATGTGTAAGCTGCCCACGCCATAGGCACTAATGCAACCCCATACCATCAGAGATGCAGGCTTTTGAACTGTGCACTGATAACAAGCTTGATGGTCCCTCTCCTCTTGAGTCTGCAGGACACGGCATCCGTGGTTTCCAAAAAGAATTTCAAATTTTGATTCATCTGACCACAGAACAGTTTTCCACTTTGCCTCAGTCCATTTTAAATGAGCTTTGGCCCAGAGAAGATGGTGACGTTTCTGGATTGTGTTGACACTTTGCATGATATAGCTTTAATTTGCATTTGCGGATTGCACAGCAGACTCTGTTCACAGATAATGATTTCTGGAAGTTTCCTGAGCCCATACAGTGATTTCCAGTACAGAATCATGCCTGTTTTTAATACAGTGCCGCCTGAGGGCCCGAAGATCATGAGTATCCAAAATTGATCGCCGGCCTTGTCCCTTGCATACAGGGATTTCTCCACATTCTCTGAATCTTTTGATATTATGTACTGTAGATGGTGTGATATCCAAGTCTTCGCAATTTTACATTGAGAAACATTTTTCTGAAATTGTTCCACAATTTTTAGACACAGTTTTTCGCAGATTGGTGAACCTCTGCCCATCTTTGCTTCTGAGAGACTCTGCCTCTCTAAAGTGCTCTTTTTATACCCAGCCATGTGAGTTAGTTGCAAATTGCTCCTTCAGCTGTACCACTTACTTTTCCAGCCTTTTGTTGTCCCGTCCCAACTTTTTTGAGATGTGTTGCTGGCATTAAGTTCTAAATGAGTTAATGTTTTTCATGAAATGGTAAAATGTCTCACTTTCAACATCTGATATGTGTTCTATGTTCTATTGTGAATAAAATATGGGTCTATGAGATTTCCAAATCATTGCATTCTGTTTTTATTTACATTTATTTACATTTTACACAGTGTTCCAAATATTGGGACTGTTTTCGGAAATGGGGTTGTAAATATGTTGCTTGTGTTGGAACAAAACCTCTCTAAAATGGCAGTTTTACAGGAGGAAAACAAAGTAAAAGCCTTATCTCCGCAAAGCTGTAGTCCAGAAGGAACACAGTTTGACATGCTTGTGCTAACCCTAGCTTTTGCCTCAGTAACCAAAAAGAAATGGAAATAATTTCACTTTCAAAAAACGAAACGTGGGGCTTTTGCAAAAAGCACGGTAGCAAAGTCAGGAGCATTTTGTTGCTCCTGTAAGTTAGTCCTGTTTTTCTCTGGATGTACTACAAAGTGCAATGCAATGATAAACAGCCCTGTAGACTCACCTCACTGTGAAGCATCACCTGTATGTGTTTGTATGTAGGTGAAATAGAGCAGGAGCAGCGAGGTTTATCAGAGTTGGAGCGACACTCTAAAGCTCTGATGCTGGACCTGCAGAAACTGAACTCACTACTGAGCCAAAACACACAGCAGAGCCAAGAACTACAGCAGAGTAACAGCCTGATGGAGAGCAGCTTCATCCACCAGCTTAAAGGTACACATACATTCACACACAGTGTTTTGGATCATAGGCTGTTGTAAATGAGAAAGAGATCTACACTCCTGTGCAAAAAAAGGGGCAAAGCCTAAAATACCAATGTTTTTACTGAGGGTTTTAGCTGAGTCCAGAGTTAAACCCTATAGTGAATATTCGGTCTCACATTAAACACAAACTAGCTCTGCAATGTTTTTCAGCTGTTTGAAGCCACCAGTGCTGAGTGAAACAATACTGACTCTTCCTTCTGTAAAAGACTGTCTGCAGGTTTACCCACAAGACTTCAGTATTTAAAGAAATCAAGGGAAAAGCTCTTTAGTATTGACTATTTTACTTTTTTTGCAATAATTTGTCATCAAGACCAAGAAAAGCTTAATGTTTTACCATTTTGGGCTTGGCCCAAAAAGGGAGAAGGGTCTGGCTGCAGACATGCACTCTCAGCCTGACATGCACCGCCAGCCTATTGAAGACGTCAGCGCACGCTCTGCCACGACAGTGTTTTTGTCGGTTTTATGAGGAAAAACAGCGAAACACATACTGTTGGGCAACAAGAGTTACACTGAATGTTGTCTTTCTGAGCAATTACATGTCAACGTTGTGACGATGTACAGAGCACCAAGCACACAGCGTTGTGGGCACCAAAACAGTATGTTGTCACAACGTAACTGTGTTTGCTGGGCTGTTAGGAAACTATCAAATGTATGTGGAATCAGTCCCAAAACACCTGATTAAACGGAATCCTTTACACTGTGATATCAATCCATCAGGAAAACACTGTGTTAGCCGTGTTATGGGCGAAAAATGGATTAAGTGATGATATCGTTAAGCAGCAGCAGCAGCCAAAAGTTAATGTACCGTTGGGCTCCTTCCGCCATTGTGGCAGAGAGTGCATGTGCACGTGACGTCACTGGGGCTGAGAGTGCATCTGGCTGAGAGTGTATGTCTGCAGCCAGACTCTATTGGGCAAAAAGGTGTGTACTCTGTAAAACTACTTTTAACAGAAAAAATAACATGTATCAAAAATGTTACGTTAAAGATGATGAATTTGACAGCAGGACCGAAACTTCAAGTTTGACTGAAATCACCAGTTTTTGTGTTAGAAATTATTGAAATATGTGGTGAACAGTTTTAAGCTAGACCTTCAGTTTGGGCCATAAAACCTGGTCAAAAATGGGAAAAAAATGTCCTTTATGATAATGCTAATTTCTACTAGCACCCCTATGGGATTTTAGTACTAGCACTAAGCTAACAGCAAGTCACATTAACGTTTTTGCCCTCCTGCTTTAAAAATAGCCATTTGAAGCTTGTGAAAGACATTAACGTTAAAGTCAAAACATGATTGGTTGATTCCACTCTCACTTCCTAATAATGTTGGTAGGTAATCTAACATGTAAGGCCTTCAGTCCAGATTTCTTAACCAATGGGAGAGCTCGGTTGAGTGTATTTACCAAGATACTACAGAGGAAGCAAATCCTAAGTGGATCATTTTCTGCTGTGAATTTAACCCTTTTGTTTCCAAAAACTTTACAGTGAAATAAGAGTATTAATATAATATTTACAGAATTTAAATACAACAAGTATGATGATTATATTAGACAAAAGTGAACTTAAAATCACAGCCATGTTTTTTTTTATTTCACAGAAATCAGTAGATCTTCTCTGAAGGCCCAGAGGGTTCCCCTCTGACTGAAATACTGTATAAACGCTTTGCTGATGCCAGCAGGCATCCTGATCTGTGTGTAATTTGATATGGAGTAAATGATAACTGAGGTCATATGCAAAAGTTTAGGCACGCCTGGTCAAATGTTGATTTTCTAAGTGTAAATGAGTGAACACATCCTCCACAGAGAACACACTTCTTCACATTTTAATGCAAAATTAGTGCTTAGAGTGATGAGAGAAACTGTTTATGTGTGTATGTAGGATGCAGAGAGGGAGTCTGTGGAGATGCAGCTGCGTCTGGAGAAGCTTCAGGAGGAGAAGGAGAGACTGCTCAACAGCCTGGTGGAGGCAGAGTGAGCGCAATACAAACACACAGTACACCCACCCTAATAATGCCCACCCTGAACTGCAAATAATCGAGTCAATATCTCCATCGGCGGGAGATCCTGAGTTTGATTCCCGGTGATGCACAGTCATTTGTGTTTAGAAGTCCAAAAGAGCACAGTCGTCCTCTCTCTCTCTCTCTGGGTGGGTAGAATGGTTCTCTCTCTCCCTCATCACTCAACACAGTGCTAGCCAACGTAGGTGTCTCTTAGCTGATGTTACAATATTAGCAGAATTGGGTAAAGACCCAATGCACCTGTACTCACCCAATGCACCTGTACTCAGCTGTATTGGCTCAGTGCACCTGTACTCACCCAACACACCTGCACTCGCACACTGCACCTGTACTCACCCAACACATCTGTACTTGTTCAGTGTACCTTTATTAACCCAAAGCACCTGTACTCGCTCAATGCACCTGTACTCACCCAACACACCTGCAATCAGCTGTACTGGCTTAGTGCACCCGTACACAGCTGTACTCGCTCAGTGCACCTGTACTCACCCAATGCACCTGTACTCAGCTGTACTGGCTCAGTGCACCTTTATTAACCCAAAGCACCTGCACTCACTCAATGCACCTGTACTCACCCAACACACCTGCAATCAGCTGTACTGGCTTAGTGCACCCGTACACAGCTGTACTCGCTCAGTGCACCTGTACTCACCCAATGCACCTGTACTCAGCTGTACTGGCTCAGTGCACCTATACTCACCCAGTACACCTGTACTCACTCAGTGCACCTGTATTCAACCAGTGCACCTGTAATCACTCAGTACACTTGTACTCACCCAACGCACCTGTACTCAGTTGTACTGGTTCAACACACCTGTACTTTCAAAATTCCAACCACTCTGATCCCAGTTTAGACCAAATAGATCAAACAAACTCACCCAACACAACCAGTCTATCATCCTCCTCACCACTCCACTCCACGTGTGTGTGTGTGTGTAGGCGTCAGATCATGCTGTGGGAGAAGAAAACTCAGCTTGTTCGTGAGACCCGCTCTGCTGTGGACTCAGAGGTGGGGAAAGGAGAAATTCACACCATGAAGGCAGAGATACACCGCATGGAGGTGCGTGGGCATATGTTCTTGTTTGTTAATGTATGTAAAGTGTTTGCATTTGTAGTATGTATTATTATACACATTTATATTTATTTTATTTACATGAAGGACATATTTTTGTAAAATATAAATTCTTACACCTGTATAATACTTATTCAATACAGTTTTATTACATGTAGGTACCTATAACCGCTGTTATGAAAAAACCTTGCACCTCCAAAATGGTAAATTACAGGAGATGGAAAAAAGTTATTGATCGGAAGTTAATAAAAATATTTCTCTCCAAGTAATTGTGGTGCATTTCTCTGTTGGTTAATTCATAATGAAATTAAGGCACAATGTAAAAGGCAACTGACTTTTCCAAATTTGGGAAAGAAAAAACACAAAAACGGAGATATAATTTTTTGTTCCAAATATAACTTCATGATTATTGTGCAGAGGACAGGTACAGAGCCAATGAAATGCAGTTAGCTTGTAACCAGAAGTGCAAAATACCGTAATATTTAAATATAAAGTGCAGGAAAGTAAGCAGTATATATATTATTCTACATTATTACATATGTGTATGCACTTATATATATATATATATATATATATAGAGAGAGAGAGAGAGAGAGAGAGAGATGCCCTGTGATGGACTGGCGACCTGTCCAGGGTGTTTGCTGCATTCCGTCAAATGAGTGCTAGAATAGGCTCCAGCACCTCCCATGACCCAGGAGGATAAGCAGTATAGATTATAAATGAATGAATGTGTGTATATATACATACATGAGCCATGTTATTATTAAATATAGATACTTAAGTATACATGCAATATATTAGCCTCACAGTGCCACATGTAATTCCTTAACAACGACACATGTCTGAGGACAACTTTTGTTGGTAGGTTGCGGCCTAATACAACGCTAACAGGAGTATGACCCACATCCTGATGTTTTGATCTAGTCGATGTGTGTGTTTGTGTGTTTCAGGTGCATTATGGTCATCTGCTAAAGCAGCAGAAGCAGTTGTTAAGGGACATGGAGGCGGCGGTTGTCAGACGTGAGAGCATCGTCACTCAAAGTGAGGCTCAGGCCCGCAGTGACCGTAAACACCCCACACACACTGACCTCCAGCACACACTGCAAGCCCTGCGCCGCAACATCCTACACACGCACAAGGTGGGCAGGTTTTCTACTCTTCTTATTTGAACATACAGTTGTAAGCAAAGGTTTGCACACCTGTTCAAATTACATGATCAGTTCACACTAACTAAATCATAGCATTTTCTGCAAATATTCACTGTGTTTAACATATTGAGAGAAATGTATGCAACATAAACATATTAAACATAAATAAAGATGCACAGGCCACTTTATTATGTTGAATTTTTTAAATGTGAAAATCAACAAAACATGGAATTTGGAGCGCCCAAACTTTTACATACTTTTGTCATATCTATGTGTTCCTGTACAGTTATCTATAGTCTGCGTTTGAGCCTATATATATATGTATATAGTTCCTGCTCCACTTCTGATTAGAAGCCATTGCAAAATGTGCACATATACAACTGAATGCAAAGGTTTTGGCTCCCCTGGTCAAATTAAATGTTTTCTTGAAGTTAAAATAAGTTAACACACCCTCTACAGAGAACTCTCTTCTGCTAATTTTAATGCACAATTACTGTTCTTTTGCATATAAAATGTGGCATGAAATTGTGGCACATTTACATTTTATGTTTTATTTTCCCCAGTATGTTAAAATTATGAATTAACATATGCTGAAAAATGTCATATTTAAGTGTGTTCTCTAAAGAGGATGTGTACACTTATTTCAGCAAAACATGGAATTTGACCAGGGTGCTAAAACCTTAGCCTATGACTGTATAACCATACACATCAGTTGAACTATGCATTAACATTGCAGGCTATTAACAACCAAAGAACCAATATGTAGAAATGTAAAGAATCACATTGCTTGGCAGCCGCTATCTGCTGTGAACATGCTGCATTGCTAGGCTGCATTACTTATTGCAATGGTTAATAATAAATTATTTAGCAAATATTGTTTTATAAATGTAAGATGCTAAGCACCACCTCTAACTGTGGTGGCTCTGAGTGGCTTCTTGTTTAGTAAATGTGTGTGTGTGTGTGTGTGTGTGTGTGTGTGTGTGTGTGTGCAGCAAGTGGAGGAGTGTGATGGTGTGTTAGCAGAGCTGCAGGAGAAGCAGAATTCTCTGAGTGAGAGTCTGAAGCAGAAACAGCTGCAGATCAGTGACCTTCACAACACCAGCACTGCCCTCAGTACTGACCTACAGGATCTACAGGAGACCAGAGAGAGCGTCAGTATACATACACATTCTATTTCTACTGTTCTTTAAAGGGGAATTCCACCAGCTTTTCAAATTTCTGCTTAATTAAAATGTCATTAACAGTCATTCAGAGTGGTTTGGTGTGAAATGCTCTAGAGAAACTTACAGAGTCAGAATTATTCACAGTGGTGGTGATAGGAACCAGACATCCACCTCTAAAAGCTCCCTCATAGAAATGTATTATACGAAATTGTTATAAATACACTGCCTGATGTCTGAGACACTGTTTTACATTTTAAAAAAAAGGTTACGGTTCTAAAACATATTTTTTAAAATCTGTTAATGGTGGAGGGATAAATGCAGGGCATTGTGTGGAAAAATAGTCCCCAAAGAAAACTATTTCTTTTCACTGCTTTAGAATGTACTTACTTTACTAAGCGTTTAATTGTTTCCTGAGTGAGCACTTTACTGAGCATTCTGTTCTCTATTCTAGAACCTGGCTCGGCTACTGTCTCTGCAGTCTCGGGCAAAGCAGCTGCAGGTGGTGAAGGAGGGTCGCTACAGCGCCACGGCAACTGGAGAGGCTGCGCTGAAGGAGGCCATGCAGAAACAGCACGAGCGGCTACGTTCGGTCAGTCACCACACACACTTCACTCTAGAACACAGTTCTAGAGTTTCTAGAAAGCCAGGGATTCTACAACATCTTTCTAGAAGACCAGGGACAAAAATAAATAAGTTCTTTGTGACAAAAATAAAAAGCTTTTTACATGTAAAACTGTAAATGTTAAAAGTTCACGCTGAAAAAATTTGACACCATATTAACGCTTCAGCTTTTAGTTTAGTAACCTGGAGCCACATTACAGAAACATCTTAACTCTGAAATCTTTTTAGTCTCCATGACGACTTCAGTACGGACTGAATTTAGGCCAGTAGCTATTACACAGTAACAGTTCCTAACTTCATAATCTTATCATTAACTCCAGATAAGAAAACAGTATTACACAAACATCCTAACTAGACTAAACCTCCTAAATACTAGGGGTGGGAATCTCTAGGCACCTCATAATTCTATTCGATTACGATTCAGAGGGCTGTGATGCAATTATAAAATGATTATCGATGCACCTCGATGCATCTTTTTTTTCTATATAGCATTTATATTTTCTCACTGTGTGAGCTCAAGTTTTGAGTTCAAGTTTCAAGTTTATTTGTCATTTGCACAACATGTCAGGATATTTATGCATTGAAATGCTTGTGGTGAAGCACAGGCAATCACTCTACAGAAAGTAAATAAGTAAAAATAAAAATACAAGAAAAAACAACTGAAATATATTAAATATACACAAAATATACACAGAATATACACAGAATATAGAGACAATATACATTTTAAAGTGACTAAGTGACTCGGTGTTATTGTTATTTAAAGTGACTTTTAAACCAAAGTGTTTGTAGTGATCCATAATAAATTTACTTCCAATATCTTTTTTAATAAAACAAATGGAAGTGATGTGGCAAGTGAACTAGAAGGCTCTCATTCACTGCTCTTGTTTGGAGCACGAGACGCTGCTGCTACTCATCTGCGATAAAATGCGCAGTTACGGTGAAATAAGATCCAGTGGTGATGGATGTCCATGCAGCACGTTACAGCTATTCTACCTGTTTTCTTTAGTGATTTTATAACTTCAGTTTTGGTCTCGTTGTAGAGACGGGGGGGATCGCTGTGTCAGTAAAGTATCTTTGACGTGTGCAACATAGCGTGAAAGCCCTGTTTCGCAACGACTGAGAACCGGCGTGCAGACTGCAGGTCACATAGCAACAATGCGTTATTCGCATTTATAAGCAGCGCAGTAGGTTTCCTGGTACGTTAAATCTGCAACAAGAGACTGTCAAACACTAAAAAGTGGCGAAGATGAAGTCGCTTCTCTTTTGAATTCTCCTGTTCCACCTTAAATGGTGCCACTATTACATTCGGCGCCTCAGTTAGAATTTAAGGTGGAACGGGTAAATTCGGACAAGAAGCTGGAGAATAAGAAGCGACTTCAGCCTCGAAAAAAGGTCAAACGTTGAGAGACATTTAACTGATCAACTTCTGCAGAAAAGTTTTCTGGCGGAGATGGGAGGAAAGCGGCTATAGCTGAAGCTTAAAGCACAGCAAAGTAAATCTGCATTTTCGTTTAGGTTATACTGTTTAGTCTATACTAGGACATTAACACATACTGAGACATACTGGCCATTAAATGCTGTGGCTCCCAAGGTGGTTTGATTTTTGTTGAAAGGTCAAAATAGCTCTTCTTAACATTTGGGTTGTGACTCCTGACCTAACCTGGCTTTTAATTCAGAGGGTGCCGGTCGGATTTCTCGCTCATCCAGTAGTGTTTTTGTTATGTGCTGCCACAGACTGTCCGGGCGCTGCACTTCCACACTTCCAAGTTCCGCCCTTTGTGTTCCGTCAACATTACATTCTAAATTAAATATTTAGAAAATCGATTTTTGACATTTGCGAATCGATTCAGAATTGTTCACATCCGCATTGCGATGCATCTAAGAATCGATTTTTTTCCCACACCCCTACTAAATACTGTCCAGCAGCGTAGTCCACTACTAGCAATGACGCTACACTTATTTATGCTGTATAACGCTGCTGGAGATGGAGACTGAAACTGGGGAGCGACGACGGTCTGATAAACAACAGCACTCTTTACTTTTGTTTTGACTTTGCATCAGTAATGGTGGCTATAACTTACATATTTAACATTATTTTGATTTTGTGTGTATATTTCAACTGTGTGTATGGTTGCTAGGTAACAGACATGACAGTTATCGACTTCGATTGAGTAGGTTAAGATTTCCTAACTTGAGATAATGTGCTGTAATATAAGATTCCTAAATGCAGAAAAGATTTGCTTAAAATCTTAATTTAAAACTATTAAGATAAAAAAAAATATTTACATTAAACTGACTAGGTTGCCTCTGTCTGCACATACTAACTAGTTTATTAATATGAGATTTAGATGTTAGTTTACCATCCAGCCAAATGCCGAGGTTCTTATACTCTGTGACTCGCTCAATGCTGGATCCTGCCAGGGTAGTAATAGTCACAGTATTAAAATCAATATTTGAATAAGCTCATCATCTCCAGCCACAGCATGTTTAGCTGTATCACTACACAGGCCAGCATCAACTTTTTATGTAAGTTTAATCAGGTACAAACTTCTGCACATGCGAGTTTAGGCTTAATGCGTCAACTATTTTCATAACACAAACTGATATTTCAGAATCCACTCTAAAATTAAACAGTAATTTACCGTAGGCTGTTTGTTACAGTCATTTCCTCCTGGTTGGTATAACAATAAAATGTATCAATAATTTTTTTAACCACAGTTATGAGGCACTTACTGCTATTATAAAACAGAGACGAAACACAATTTAAATACATGATTATATTCAATAAATCATTGACATTATTAACAGTTAAATTACATAAAGTGCTCCGTGAAGAGCACCCTGGTTTTTAATGACTTGGGCGGATTAATGCAGAGTTCAGTTGGTGCCTCTGAATGTGGCTTAGCCAATCAAGCAAGCAAGCAAAGTTTATTTATATAGCGCTTTTTACAACAGGTAAATAAATAAATAAGTCAGCATTACAGAAAGAAATCCGGGTCCAAGCCCCCATGAGCAAGCCAGTGGCGACAGTGGCAAGGAAAAACTCCCTAAGAGAAACAAGAAGAAATCTTGAGAGGAACCAAGACTCAGAAGGGGAACCCATCCTCCTCTGGTTGACACCGGATAGCAAAAATTGTTAGTACAAAAACGGGGAAAACAGGTGGAGCAATGATTAATTTGATTAGTTTAGTTTATGCAGCAGCAGCATCAGTGGGGTCAGGATGTGAGGGTGAGGTTGCACGGCGTTGTACAGCATAAAGCTCAATGGTGGTCAAGCCAGTCCAGAGGCAGCATCAGACGCACAGGATGGGCAGCTGTTTAACTCGGCAAAGAAAAGAAAGAAAGGAAAAACACACAGTCAGTTCTGTAATGGGTGACTGATCACAGATTGCAGTGTTAGCAGAGCAGCAGAGACTCTGGCAGGTATAGAACTGACAGGGAAAACTAATTACCAAAGGCTTGACTATACAAGTAAGTTTTTAGCCTAGACTTAAAGCCTGAGGCTGTGTCTGAGTCCCGAACATTAACAGGAAGACTATTCCAAAGCTGGGGGGCTTTGTATGAGAAAGCTCTCCCCCCTGACGTAACTTCATTAATTCTAGGTACTAATAGTAAGCCAGCACTTTGTGATCTAAGTAGGCGTGATGGTTCATAATGGGAGAGAAGTTCACTCAGGTACTGAGGGGCGAGTCCATTCACAGCTTTATAAGTCAGTAAGAGAATTTTATAATCAATGCGAAATTTAACTGGTAACCAGTGTAGGTTTGATAGAACTGGGCTGATATGGTAAAATTTTCTGGTTCTAGTAAGAACTCTGGCTGCAGCATTCTGGACTAACAAGCTGAACTTGTTAAGGCTTTTGCTGGGACATCCAGCTAGCAGGGCATTACAGTAATCTAGCCTTGAAGTAATAAATGCATGAACTAACTTTTCTGCATCCTGTAGAGATAATGCATTTCTCAATTTAGCAATATTGCGGAGATGCAGGAAGGCTGTTCTACTAATATTAGTTATATGTGCGTCGAAGGACAGATCAGGATCTATCATGACACCAAGATTTACAGATGAACCTGATGCAACTGAGAAATTGTTAAGTTTGAGTGTAAAATTAGACAGTTTGTTTCTAGCTGCTTTTGGACCAAGAAGTAGAACCTCTGTTTTATCCGAGTTAAGAAGGAGAAAGTTACTCGACATTCAGTCTTTTATGTCTTTTATACAGTCCTCAAACTTGATTTACAATCAAAATTTATGCCGTGTTTACTGATAATGGTGCCCAGTGGTAGCATATATAGTGTGAATAATACAGGTCCTAAAACAGAGCCTTGTGGAACACCATACTTTACTTTTGCGAGGGCAGATGATTTACCGTTTAAATTAACAAATTGATAGCGATCAGTGAGGTAGGACCTGAACCAGGAAAGAGCTATTCCTGTTACCCCTACAAGGTTTTCTAGACTAATAAGATAGCGTGGTCTATCGTGTCAAATGCCACAATAAGATTGAGGAGGACTAACAAAGACACTTTTTCTTGGTCAGAGAATAATAATAGATCATTTACAATTTTTACCAGAGAATCAGATTTTGGAATCATAACTGTCCACTTTTTCATAATAAGTTGATTTTAAACTAAAAAGCGTTCTCGCAAAGTGAGTTTTAATTATAAACTCCAGTTTTAGGAAGAAGTTTTTGAACCTTTTCTGGATTTCAGGACGAATGGTTCCTAATAAACAATGATAAGCGAAGCTGATCTTATCTAATAATCAACAAACAACATTTAACATTTTCATGTGTACTTTCCAGAGCTGGTGTGAAGTTTGACGTCATGTGCTGTGTTCATATATGAGATTCCTCAGCTGTCTTTGTGACATGTGGGTGTTTGTGTGTGATGTGCCCTCAGGTCAGCGGCGTTCTGCAGCGTGTGGTGCAGGACTTTCCCCATTATGAGAGCGCCCTCCGCAAAATAAACCTCCTACTGTCTGCACGCACCCCCACGGACCACCAGAGAGCTTAACCTCTTCAGTTCTTTTATAATTGATTTATGTTTTGCATTATTGTATTACAAAATACCATCTGTGATGTGAGTACATATTCTATACATATATATTTAACCCAAAAAGACTGTAGGAAATGCCTTCGTGCAACCAAAGACCCACAAAAATTCATCTGGAGCATCTGTGATCGGAGCACATATCAAAGTAAAAATAAGATTAAAACAGCGGTTTGTCAGAGCCTTCTTTTGCACTCTTACAGACCCCATGAAAAAGGAAAATAGATTAATATATTGTATACACTGATCAGGCATAACGTTATGACCACCTCCTTGTTTCTATGCTCATTGTTCATTTTATCAGCTCCACTTACTATATAGGTGCACTTTGTAGTTCTACAATTACAGACTGTAGTCCATCTGTTTCTCTGCATACTTTGTTAGCCCCCTTTTACCCCATTCTTCAGTGGTCAGGACCCCCATGGACCCTCACAGAGCAGGTACTATTTGGATGTTGGATCATTCTCAGCACTGCAGTAACACTGATGTGGTGGTGGTGTGTTAGTGTGTGTTGCGCTGGTCTGGGTGGATCAGACACAGCAGTTATTTTTTCATTTATTTTATTTCCAGAGTGTTTGGGATTACTTTGGTCATAAAAAAGTGTAAAATACAACCAACTTCTAAGATTGAACTGGAGATTTGGAAAAATATCCCTGCAGATTTCTTAGAAAAACTGAACGCATGTCATTTGAATAGAATAGAAGTTATAATTAAGCTGAAGAGTGGACACACTCAATACTAAAATAATAGATATTATATATTTAGGTGTTAACTTTGCACAATTATCTGCTTTTTTTCCTGAAAAATGAATAGCTTGTACATATTGGCCATTTTTGCTAGAAATTAGATAAACAAAGGGTGCAAAGTATTGTTTGTAATGTTGTTGAGAATGAGGTTGTCAGCACATTCCAGAATATAAATAGCATGCATTGTGATATATTTACAGTGTGTTACTTCTTGCATAAGAAAGCTTATAATGCGATAATCATCAGAAAAATGATATAGGCGTGTTGCCAAGCTCTATTTATCGTACTTTTTTACATTGTTGTCTTTGTTTAGAACAACACAGTGCACCTGAGTCTGTGGATTCATATTGAAGCTAAGAAGGAAGTGGAGTATAGAGTGGAGAGAGAGCTCAGGGGTTTCCCCTTTAAATTAACCTGTGATTCAGGCCTGTATCAGGGGACTGGGATAAGCTCACTTTACAGCCGCCGCAGTCACGAAAGAGTTTCCACACAGATGAGACACACAGTGAGAACAGAACGTGTGTCATACCACAGCTAATCTGACCCCAAAGCTTGGTTAAAATAAAGCAACAGGGCCCCACAGTGCTTTAACTGGGAGCTGATACGCACATGCTTAAAACGGAGACCAAGTAAAATATAATTAAATACACCAAAGCTCAATGTTCAACAGGTGTATTTAGACTTTACTTCGACTTGCAGTCAAGAAATGAAACTATTTTCCCGTCAAGTGTGGGAGAGCTGCTCCACCTCGGTAGTTGTTGTTGCTCAACATGTTCACCGTCACCTTGATGAGAACATTGTGATTCATTGTTGTGACTCAGATTAAAGATTCTTATTTCCTGGTGAGACAAATCAAAAATCATAGACACAGCAGATACATATATTTACAGTTTTATTTATTTTTGCAGGACAAAAAAACAATGTCATAGAGTCCTCTCCTGCTATCTGTCAGCTTCTTTCTGAACTTGGCAGTCACAGTTATCTCCAGTGATAGTATATCTAACAACAATAATATCTCCAACAAGAGTGAGCTGCAATTCAGTGTGAAGTATTTATGACTTGTCATTTAAAAAAGAGGAGAAATTGTGTGGAAAGTGCAGATTCCAAACTTTCAGCACCACATCCGTGCTTTTAAGTACACTCTTAAAAAAATGATGCGTCAAGAAAATGGTTTTATATAGAACCATGATTTTTATATGATTTAAAGGTTCTTTGCATCATGAAAAGGTTCAGCAGATTGATGGAATGTGTTGTATATGGTTCTATATAGTGCCAAAAAGGGTTCTTCTATTCTTACAATGTCAAGCTAGTATTAATAGAAGAACCCTTTTTGGTGCTATACAGAACCCTTTCCAAAAAGATTCTACATGGAACCAGCTAAAATACATTCTCCATTAATCTGAAGAACGCTTTCACCATGCAAAGAACCCTTTATCATTCAAAGGGTTCCTCAAGTGTTCATGGCTCTATATAGAACAATTTTCCATAATGAAGAGCTTTTGAAGAACCATCTTTTTAAGTGTGTACCAATCAGTAACAACATGTTTTTATCACAGCACCTTCATTTATTTAATTTCCAGTACAGTGTTCAGCTACACAGTGAAGTTTATTCCCTTTAATGGCTCACAGTATGTCAAACTAAACCACATCAACAAGTCTGTATGACCTCAGTGAAGACCCAGATGTGGTTTGAGAGATTTGGGGATGTATTAAGAGAAAATATTTGTGTGACTGTTGACTTCTAGTGTTTGTTGGGGATGTTAGCCTTGCAGCTACAGTGCTAAACAAAAGAATTTAAATTTAGACACCAAACATGTCTTGGCTGCAGGCTACATCTAGGTTTGGAACCATGTGAATTTAATATTCTTTTAAGGCTTACTGAAGTGTTATTGAACTACTTAGATTATGTTGGGCACTAAATCAACATAAAGCTGGTTTCTCCTACATTGTAGGAAAAATACTGTCAAAGTACTGTAAAATTGAATGGTCAATAACTGTTTTTTGAGGAAAAAAGCAGGTTGATTGCATGTAAATAAGCCATACATATACTACATTTATACCTGCTGCTGTAAATTCACAAAAAAAGGAATGTAAATTCACAAAAAAAAAGATCATGACCTTTATTTCACAGACATTTGGCATTATTTGAATGGTTGTTGCTGTTATTATTATGCTAAAATATATCAATCAAAATCATGTAGAAAATGGCTGTCATTTTGCAGAATTTTACTGTCATAGGCAAACATACTTTTAGTTTTTTTACAGACTTTTTAATGCTAATAGGTAATTTCCTGTTACGCTGTTCTCGGCAAAAGTGATCAACCCACTTTGATTACTGTAATTGCTACATACTTATTGTCCACCCTTTCACCTACATACTTCACTGACGGTATAACACTGTAGCAGTTGCTTTAAGGCCTGTCATCTTTGCATGCAACATGAAAACATGTGGACAAACCAGATATGAGGAGTGGCAAGATTGCACTGATTGAAAAGAGGCGTAAACACAAACTTTACAGTTTCCACTGTGTCAGAGCAAAATAAGACTAGACTGAAGATATTTACAGGTCAGGAACTGATAATATTTGTGTATAAGAACAGTTCACATCATTATTTTGCAGTTTGCTTGCTGTATTCTTTTTTATATGACTGGTATTAAATTGCATACGCACAGATTTGGGTAGTAACTAGATCAGTTTACCAAGTTACACATAATTAAACAAAATGTATGGAGTGGTACTTGATTTATGCACAGTACTGTTGGCTTCTATTACTTGTTAGCTACATTAGCTTCATAAAAAAAGAAAACCACGAAAACAAATGGACTACATTTGGGGGAAAAATGGGGAAATCCAGACTTTCATTCTGAACTGTAGTATAATGCAGATGGTGGTAGAAGTGCAGTTCAAGGGGAAGATGCCATCGTACTTTGAACAGTGTTTACCTGCCGCTCTAGGAATTCACCTGCAGCCTCAGGTGTTTGTGTGTGCACACGCTTATGAGCTTCCTATGAACCAAGTTGCTTGAATTAGTCACTTGAGGCTGTTATCATGTGGAAAAATCTTGTAAGTATCACACCTGATCAGTAGGTGTGCATTAGGATGTGCGTCGTTTTCCTGTAATCGCTCTCTTCCTCCTCTGTCCGAAGCTCTCTTTCATTTCCTTTCTCCGTCTGCAGGACTTTGGACCACGTTTGGTTTGTTTTAGATAGCGACGGCCTCAGGTGTTTAATGAATCTGGGTCGAGCACAAACACAGGGGTCCTGCAGCGTGTGTGCAAAATAAAAGGTGTGTGTGTGGTTGTATATCGGCATCGTAGGTTCAATGAAGCTGCTGCAGGGTGAGAACCAAAGCGCTAAAAAAACACAGGTTATAGGTGCTCATGTTCGGAATCAGAATCAGTGGGTTGAGAGAAGATTGGAGCAAACATTTGGGTGACTATTGACTTCCAGTGTTTGTTAGCAATGCTAGCCTTGTAGCTCCAGTGCTAAACTAAAGAAGCAAAGCTTGCACACCAAACATGACTTGGCTGATAACTACATCTGTGGTGAGTGGAGAATTATGTAAATTAGATTGTTTACTGAACTACTCCTTTAAAGCCTTATTAATCAGAATCCCAATCAGAATTAGAATCAGAATCAAAATTAGAATCAGAAGCATAATTGGTGTTAGAAAGAGAGACGGATAGTAGAAAAGATAGTAGCCAAGCGTGTGGCAGCGGTCAGTGCAAATAATCATGCAGATACGGTCAGCAGCTTTAGGTAATTTTCACATCAACCATCAGAATGAGGGGAAGCTGACAGAAAGGCTACAGTAACTCAGATAACCACCCTGTACATTTGTGGTGAGCAGAAAAGCATCTCAGAAAACACAACACGTCCAACTTTGAGGTGGATGGGCTGCAACAGCAGATGACCACGCCAGGTTCCACTTCTGTTCCACTTTCAGCTAGGAGTAGAAAGCTGAGGCTGCAGTGGGCACAGGCTCACCAAAACTGGACAGTTGAAGATAGGAGAAATGTAGCCTGATCTGAAGAATCTCGATTTCTGTTGAGGCACATAAATGGTAGGGTCAGAATTGATGCCAAAAGCATGAATCCATGGACCCAACCTGGACTGTTGACACAAGGCAGGCTGTTGGCGGGGAGGTGGAGTAAACAATGAGTTTCATGACAATGAGTTTAGTGCTCTTCAGTGGCCTTCCCAGTCACCAGATCTGT